GAGAAGCTACTGAACAGTAATTAGTTCTTTGGAATTTTGGCAAACTTACTGTTTCAGTATAAATTGCTAAACTTTTGGTAATGATGGTTTTTTTTCTCCTGCTCATCTTTAATTTTTCTGCAATCATGTGACTAAAATGTACTTGTTCTCTTTTGCAGGGGAAGAGGCTCTTAACGAATACCTGAAGACTAAAGTTGTTACTGTAGAATACTGAACATCTGAATTATTTTATTTGTTATGGAATGCAGAAATGGATGTGCTAATTTTTGTGATAATATGGTACTTCATTAGTCTTTTAGGAACCTTTAAAAAGGCTAAAACTGAAATCTGTTCTGCTAACTCTGGCTCTAGTAATGATAGTCTTGACATTCAGTGGAGTCTCATTTTCTTTGATCTCTTGTTGACCAGAGGAAAAAAGTTAGGCCCTCGTCAGTGTTAGTGATATTCTGCCTTGCCTTGAAACATCAACAACAAATTTCCAGATGCTGATCATGAAAATGTAATGTATTAACTTGTATAAACAAGAGTACCGGTATATTAAGAAGATTACTGATTGGAACAGAATGCTATCAATTTTTTTTTTAATTTAAGTCAAAAATTTATCTCTAATACCAACACCAAGGAGGAAATATGTAGTAAGAATATTTGATTTGATGTTACAAGAGGTTTCAAAGAAAATATGTTTGTACTGTTAGCCCTTTAACTCCCATTAGTGACCAAGACACAATTTCTCCTAACAATATCAATACAATATCAAGCAGACAAGTGATGAGAATGAAGGACGATATCAATAAGGGGATTAAAGTGGTTGATCAAACACTAAATTCTCCCAACTAACATCTTAAGGATTGTATGGTAGAGAGTAAGGAGAATTTCTGATGAGATCTTGGGAGTGTATTTGTAAGGGTTAATTTGTAGAAATTGCAGCAGAGATACAATGACAGAAATCATTTTCTATTGAGTTGTAGGTTGAAGTATGTTAGCAATTTTTATCCATTGGCATCATAAGTAATATATGGACACAAGTTAAGTTGACAAACTGACAGTAGTTTAGCATGGTCTGTACTCTTGTTGACAGTGATATTTTTAAACCACTGTTGCTTTGTTTTTACCAGTATCAACTGCAAATGAAATGATTATTTCAGTGCATGACCTCTGTGTGACATGTTGATGCACATAGCATTGTCTGCACTCTTATCAACAATGGCAAATTGGCCAATCAGATTGTACAATTATTGCCAATTGTGATAAAAAACTTTTTTATATGGATCCAGGTCAAAAGGGGTATCAGATCACAAGGATTTTCTAAATATTGAATGACTTGCATGCCGTAGTTGAGTTGTACATGTACATGTATGTAGATATTTTGAGCAAGCCCACAGCCAATAGGAAGAATAGGAAGTCACTTAATTTGCATGCACTTTGTTGCCTGAGCACAAGCAATAAATTTTGACAGTATTCTATTTTAGAGATTTAGACTTGCTGCTAAATTATTGTGCTGCACTGTGGCTATTATTCATGTCTGGCTTCAGCAATTATCATTTGCAGTGCTAATTTGCAGCAAGGTGAAGGCAAATTCATCTAATCCATTGTTAAAATCTCTGCAATATTTAAATTATTGTCAAATTGTGTAGTACATGCCATATTACTTTTTTAGATGTCACAATATGTCCTATTTTGTCGCGTAGCGACTGAAAAAAAAATGTCTGTTTAGTTATACTATTCATAGTGAATATCAAAAATGATTAATTTTGATATTAGGTAATTAGTGCCTGCTTTAAGCTTTAGAGAGACAACTATTGCATGTACTTTATTTTTGAGCTGCTTAATGAATGATGCCAATTAAAAGCTTTAAGCTGTTATTGATTGAATACATTTACTTGGTCTTGTTTTCAGAAAACATTTTTATATACCCATGACATGGCTGAAAGGTAAAAAAAAAATAGAATCAGTTGTCCAGAAGCAACGTGGTCAACTGTACTGCGGGCATGCCAACACCACAGCTTTGTCTAGTAGTCCAGTGGTCAGTGCACTGGGCTCCGAGTCGGATGACCTGGGTTCTAGTCCTGGCCAGGGCAAGGTGTTGTGCCCTTGGGACATGCAGGAAAAAAATGCGAGCTCCGCTTTTAGGCTTGGCTAAATCTATATATTATACCCAGGACATGGCTGCAAGGCCAAAAAAACAAGAATCAGTTGTCTAGAAGCAACAGTGGCTGGCATTTCCACACGCTACTTGTGGTAGAAGTGACAGTGGCTGGCATTTCCACCCGCTACTTGTGGTAGAAGTGGTGCCTTCTTTAACCCATTAACTCCTAAGATCTGATTTTTAATTCTCCCCTCCAGCTGCTACAAATTTCCTCATCAATTAGTGATGAGAATTTGATGTTAGATCAAGATAGCAACTACCTGATAAGTTTGAGTATTCTCATTATCTGTTTCCTGGATATCTATGGATATTAGGGAGGGAGAAGTTCCATGTTAATCACTTTTGTGGGTTAAAAGGTTAATAAGTCAAAATAGCAAATTATCTGTCTTGATTTGGACACTCACTTGTATCCCTGCCACCTATTTTTTTTTTTACCCTTTACACCCTAATATTAGTATGCATATTCTCCACACTGTTCTCTACACATTTCGTAAGGTGCTGACCGGGAGAATTTGTTTAACAATTAAGAGCTTCTTTATTTGGTGATCATTTCCTTTATTCTCATGATCTTGATGAATGATTCAGTGTTGATAATGCAAGGAGAAATTAGATGCCATTTACTCCCAAAATGTTTAAGGATTAAATGGCTGGCTTCTTAAAAGTCCCTGAAGAACTTTGATAAACTCCTCAGAGTGAGAGAGAAGGCTGGGGGTTTTAAGTTGAGTTAAGGAAAATTTAACTTTTGAAGAAAAGTTAGGTGAAGTTGAAATTATAAAACCACAGATTTCATAAGAAAAGTGAGGTGAAGTTGAAACTATAAAACCACAGATAGCCAAAGCTCACACAACGAGCCTCTATAAATATACAAATAAGTTTACATGATGCAATGGGTGAAAATACAGGATTTGTAAGAGAAAAATGGTTTTGCTCTTGACCTATTATGACTGAATTTTCTGACTGATTTAGACAGTTAGGTAACCTTAAGTATACTTCTTAGCTAAGATTAAAAGGAGACATTATCTTTAAGTGTTATAAGGATGATAGTGAGACCACTCACAGAATGATAAAACATCTCAAAAATAAACCATTTATTCAATTCTCTTGAGTTTTGAAAATAACTGTTGTTGTCTTGTGTTACCTGAAAAACTTCAGGGCCCAGTTGTTCAAAGTGTGGATAATGCTATCCAACAGATAAATCACTATCCAGCAGATAGTTGTTGCCAAAAACTACTGGGCTATCTGCTGAATAGAGATTTATTCACTGGATAGCATTATCCACACTTTGAACAACTGGGTTCTGGCCTTCAGAAACTCCACCCGACTGGTACCACTACCTATTGCTAAATATCTCATGAAAACAGTGCAGGCCTCTTGTAATAACAGCAATTTAAAATCATTATAATAGTTGAGTTATCCACTCCATAGCAGCTTAAGAATCAATTTTTTTCTCAGATCTTACTTCAGGTTATTATGTGAAAAGGTGAAAGAACTAATAAATTGTTATGGTACTGATTAAATAGAGCTCACTTTCATTCAGCAAAGAATACTATTTACAAAAGAAATATATATTTTTTCTTTGAATCCTATGAGGGGTTCATCCAACACCAGTGTAGCAAGAAGTAACAGCAGAATTATGACAATGTTTCTCCTTTTGTTACCTAAAAAAAATTCCAAGAAGTGACTGTGTAATCAGGTGAAAATGTTTCTGGAATGCTTCTTGTGTTATGGATGATCATGACAAGTAAGGAGACTAAAAAAAAAACAGCAACAACAACAACAAACACACAAACTACATGTAATAAGTAGTTCTGTGTAGAGTTAAGATTTTTCACATCAGATTGACATGTATCCTTCTATAAAATAACGCATGAGACCAGATAACTGAGGTGCATTTGTTATCAAACTGTGGTGGTGCGTCACTAGGGGTATTACAAGATGATTTGATTTTATTAACTAAGGTTGATAATGTGCGTAAATTGGCCAAGAGTTTCTTATGCTGACATTTTAAACATTAGCCCTTCTCAAGGGTTAATGCCAAAATGCCTGCTTTAAAAACTCTCTATGGTGGTCAATTTACATCATCAACTCATTTGATAAACCAAATTATCTGGTTCCATTTCACTGTTTGTTTAGATAATTCAGATTAACCAACAGTAGTTTGTTACTTCAACTTGATTACATTACCAAAAACTCCTGGATGAGACTCAACACTAGTAAGTACATTTGCACAGATTCAATGATTGTATGTCAACTTTTATCATTATTGTTACAATATTGCACATAATATTATGTGAACGTGAAAGTAATCAGTACATACCCTGGCCTCGATGTATTCCACTCTCTGCTCTAATGATGTTAACTGTTCATTTATTTTCGCTAATCTTGATCTACATGATACGTCTGAATGATATACAAAAACAAGAAAGTAGGATCAATCATTATGTATTTCTCAACCAATAAACTAAAATATTACGATACACTTTGTAAGTCCAAGCCCCGTAAGCTTAGTTTATCTCCTTCTTTCCAGCAAATATTACAAGGCCAATCTATGTATTTATGAGCAAACCGAGCACTTAAAACAAGGCTCTACCGAAAAAACCGCATGCCCAACGCATATATAAGGTTCTTGAAACAACTGAAGGATGTTTGTATTCAATAATAATTAAGTCAACTCTGATCGAACACCACTATAATTTTTTACCCACCAAAGTCGTTGAGAAACTCGGCGATCTTTTTTATTCCTTCTGACACGACTTCTATGAATTCTCTGTTCTCCCAATCCTGTTGTATCTGTTGCTGTACTTCGCTGCTCATGGTGGAAAATTTTCCCTTCCTTTCCCTGGAATTTCTTGACTGAGGAAGAAGGCAGAGCCCATCAATTTATTCAGCGGAACCTTATTTTTGTTATTGACACATGCGCAAGTCAACTTCAGCGCCAGACCTCTCCCTAAGTATGGCCGTCTGACGTCCCTCATCGGATCACTAAAGATTTTATGCAAATGTATTTCTTCACAGCAAAAGCTGAAGGATTGAAGAGGTTAGTGTTATAAATATTAGAATAGCCTTCTTTGTAAATGATCGTTCTTCCACACTGATCCCTGAACCCTTTCGGGAAAGGAATTTCGAATTTATCGAGCGGTTATGCCAGTTTTCACACGGGGACGTCTTTGAAATTCTTTTTTTTTCTTAATACACTTTGGTCTTAGCTAAAATCAAGACTGTTACCGAGTTGAAAATTTGGTTTGTATTTCTTTCCAAGGGTAGCCGAATTTTCCTCTATACATTTTATCGATCTTAATTATTGAAGTACAGGTCTTAGTCTATTTCGCAAAAGATGCCCCCCCCCCTCCCTCTCACCCCTCCCTCTTTACTCCCCTTAGAAGTAAAAGGCCAGAGTGCAGATACTTTCCCCATCAGAAAAACTGTTTTCCTGCCGGTAGGAAAAGCCAAATGGTTTTAGATACACCATCAGAAATGTCTAGAAGAGTAAAAGTGCCAATGTGCTAACCCGAGCTCAGATTTTAGACCCTCTCATGAAATGGAAGGTGGGGTGGGGTGTGAGTATTGAATGGAATGGCCCTTAATGGGGTATTCATCTCATGGGGTAACCCTTACAATAACTATGATAATAAGTTAGTGAAATGGGAGAAGGTGTTTCCTAATTTGATATACTATCGTAAATAGTCAGTCATCCAAATTTTAGTGGTTGAAATTGGTGCTACAGTGGTGGTTAAGTTTTAAAGATGTACAGCATCTTCTTGGTTTGTGGGGAAATCTATTTACTTGATTTTTCACAAGTTAAAAATTGAAAAATGGAACACTTTCATTTTAATAATAAGTAACTTTTAAGGTGAACTTGATTTTATTTAAAGCTGACAGCCCTGGTTTGACAGAGAGAGAATGGGCCAGATACTAATGTGTCTCTGAATATAAAACTGTCTGTAGTGTGAAAGGGTATGGTTTTTTTGGATGATTTTGTAGGTGACTGAATAGAGATTTGATCATTTAGGTTTGAAATCTGATGAGGTTTTTTACACTTGCTGTAACTTAATATGTCTTTTTGCAGCCACAACTTTCTTGTACTTCTTTGTGACTGAAACAAAGTGGAGAAAACCTTTTATTTTGGTCTGAAATATGGCAACAGTTTCATGCTTCACATTCCATTAAAATCGTGTGAGAGTAACCCTCTTGTAGAGTTTCAGAGATAAAGAATTCCCTTGCATCACACAAGAGTCTCCCTCACCTTCTTCCTTCCTGAAGCACTTGCCACAAGGAGAGCTTCTGTAGCCATGTATTTATACACAATAACTAGATAAATTTAGTGAAACACAATGAACTTGAGGAGGTCATCCTGATTAAACCAATTAAGCTACCAATATATGATTCCTTTCTTTAAATTGTGCTCTCTGTACTTTTCCAAAAAAAAATGGCAATACTATCTTCTTTCCTGTTTTTCCTACTTTTTTTGCTTGTTTCCTGAGAAGTGTACAGCTTTCTTTACAGCCTTTTATAAGGAGACATATTCTCTACACTTTCCTCTAAACATTTTTGGGGTTCTGACAGGGAGAATTTGTTTAAAAGATCAAGAACTTCTTCAGTTGGTGATCATTTCATTCAATCTCATGACCTTAATACGTGATCTGGGGGTGATATTGTAAGGAGAAATTAGATGCTAATGACTCTTAGTGGTTAAAGGTTGTTGGAGCTTCCAATGCAAGCAACACTTCAAATACAAGCTCTTGTTGTAAGAGACAGTGAGAGCTTTTGTCACTCACTACTCAAGTTGATGCTTGAGAAACCGTAAATAGATCATCTTCAGTGTATTGTGTGTTATATGGTTGACAAGGAATTCTTAAGGAAAGGGCTCATGTCTGAAAAAGTATTTCCTGGGGATGAAAAGCCAGGAAATAACTTTCAAAGTGTATTCTTGAGCAACAAAGACAGGAATACGGAGAGATTGCGAATGAGTCGGATATATTTTCAAATCGCCATCCAATTGCATCACTAGCGTGTGCTGCCATGCTACACATTTTCTGTTAGCAATACATACATGCCTTTGAAAAGTGTTCTCGCTCTCTTTTACCTCATATGGTAAGTCCTCAAGTAGTAGCACTTACTATTGATATCAGTTAGTCGCGTTTTCAATCAGGCATTTCCTAGAATCGTGCCTGAAAAACAGGAAATTATGAAGCAAAAATCAGTTATTTTGGGAAAAAGTTACAGAATGCGTCATGTCGAAATGTGTGATGAAATTAGTTTTACGCAGTGATTCTGGTTTTGAATTTCATTTCCTCGGAGTTATTTCATTTTCTTCGGCGTGCTTGTTCTCACTTTCGTAGCAATTTCGGAAACGATGGTGACTCAGACTCCGTTTTTCGGTTCGTAGTAACACCGTAGCTTGTGTGGACACTCTTTGACGTTCCCTCTCAAAAGAGGATTCGAGACTTCAGAGAGCGGTGTATCCGAAATTCAAGATAGCGTTTTTAAAATTTTTCTTGAAATTAAAAAATCGTTTTTCTGTGTGAATCGCGTTTTCACCGGTCGCTTTGAATGATGATTAACATTTAACTTGGCCAATATCCAAAGATATTTACCGAACAATCTTGGTCAGAAGCGGCGCATTAATTTTTCATTTAAATAGATTCCCCTAAGAAACCACTAATTGGAAGTGTGAAATTTTTTTTCAAGCAGGAGAGCATTGTCATGGAAGTTGTCTCCATCTGACTTAAAAAAGCCGTAGAGCAATTCAGTTGGAAACTCTCACTTCAGTTAGGAGAAATTACTTTGGTCATTATTTGCGGTTACTCACAATTGCCGGACATTCCAATTCTGCCTTTTCGGGTGACTACAGTCGTAAGATATTGCTCTTTCTGAAAACTACTCCCTATTTTGATCCGAAAGTTTGATTATTTATGTTCTTGTTTAGCCTCGAAATCAAATTTTGTCATTTTAAGGTCGCCTTCTTGGAAATTATTCAAAATAGAAATCGTTCACACTTCAAAGATTTAACTTCGCGGAAGGAAAGTTTCGGTTCACTGACTTACCGTAACGCAGGAAGTCGAAGCTGGTTAAAGGCATTTTATCTATCAATTTCATTTTTTGTACGATGGTTGCGTATTGTGGTAGTTATTAGGAAATCATACAGATGTTGGAACTCTGACATTTCTTAATTTGGAGGAACAACTTGTGATCACTTCACAACATCATTGGTCCATAGTATGTAAACACTTGTCCAGATATGTAAATTAAAGAACTAAATTTAGTTCTTTGAGTGAGAGAAGAGGTGCTTGAGAATCGCTTGAGCGACGAAAATCAGCAGAGCGTTTACATTTTTCATCTCCTTCGCGAGGAAAAATCTTCACAGTCGCCCAAGGGTTGTTCTATCGAGCGCTATGGCGACGATGCTGCCGAGCACCTCAACGATCGGGACATTTTTCGCTGTGTGCGTGATCTTGTTGCCGTCGCTTGTAGTATCTAAAAGATGCGACAAGCAGATCGATAGTTTTGTGCGGAGCAACTGCATGGAATGTTCGGTAAATGCCTTTTTTCAACGTCCCTGTCCGTCCGGTTATCAGCAAGTTACCAGCGGTGAAGGCGAACAGAGCTGTGCTTATTCCGTTTTTTTTGGATTTAACTTCGGCTCCATGCGTGTCCCTGGATGTCAGCATAATTGCTCAAGGAAGATTACACAGAAAGAATGTTGTGCCGGCTTTTGGGGACAGGACTGCCAAGGTATTTAAATCGCAAATGCATTAACCCACCCTTGAATGAGCACATTACGACTAAATCCCAGGGGAAACTCCACATGTTTTACTCCCCTGGAAAACGCAACTAAGAAAGATAAACATTTCAATTGACAAACAATTTGCTTTTTTACTGAGCTTCGCAGGACATATTCGTCTCACTGCCAAATATATATTGGTTCAATTGATTATTTCACCACGAGTTTTAGCTGCTCATTGAAATTTAGCTGCAGCAATTTTGGTATTTTCAATTGCGTGAATTTGGCGCCACGGACTTTTAAGTCATCATGTTACAAAATTTCGCGGGAATATGTTGAAAGGTTTTGTAAGGGCCTATTTACACGGTACGACTTTGTCGCATGCGACAAAGTCGTGCCGTGTAAATAGGCCTTAAGCCATGTACTCTTTGACATAATGATTGGATTATTATAAAGCGCTTTTAAAGCCAATATGACAATGGAGTGGTTAAAGCTGACGAATCGAAATGAAATCAACTTTATAGATGGGGAGAAACTCGTCCACTTTCGTTTCTACCTGTGACTGATTGTTTCGTGATGGTTTACATTAAGATTTGTTACAATTGTAAGTCACAAAGATGCACTTTACACGTGTATTTAGCATAACAAATCAGCTTACAAGCAGATGAAAAGCCTTAAAAAAATTATCTTAAAGCTTCCAATCGCACATCAATACAGCTCGCTCGTCCACGTTTAATAAATTTTTAAAATGTTGTAAGTGAAAATTATCTCAATTAATGCATGTCTACTTTTGTAAGGTCTTACGATGGTGATGCAGCGCATTTTCCAAAGTCCAGTTCATCTAATATTGAAGTACTGTATCGTACCTTGTTTCGATATGCAATATTCAGCATCCTAAATCAACCGCTCACGTTTACAAAATAATAGTCTTAGGTTAAATCTCTAATTTTTTATACAGTATATTTTTAATGTAATTCGAAGATTCAAAAGGCGTAGTTGATTAGCGCTGTTTAAATTTTGAGCCAAAAGAAGACAAAAATACTCTCAGCGGGGGCGAAAGGGAGGTGCTAGAGATAAACTTACGTCAAGAACTTAATTGCTATGCCATAATTGTTCTTTCTTACCGGCGGTAAATAGGTTTATAGTCTTGGAGAACTCATAGCATGGGTATTGTGTATTTATGTAACTTTTTGCCCTGGTTAGCATGTTGATGTTCGGTGCGGTCGACTCAATTTTTCTGTGTCGTTATTCATAGAAAGTTAATTTTTTTTCCAGAGTTATAGACCTTGATTGCTTATCATTCTGGATTGCGATGCTGTAATACTACCACATAAATAAGAGCAAAATTAAAGGAATTTTTATATTGTGGAAGTAAAGTTAAACATTCCTATTCAAACAAACTGATATGCTCTAATGTCATTTCACAAAAATTCTTAAAGTAATAGATATCAGGATTTGAATGAAAATATTGTCAGATGTATGGATCTAGCCACAAAATTCCCATGGATTGAGTTTGGTAATTTACTACAATCTTATTTTCTTATTTTTGTTTAGTTGATCAATTTACAGCTAAACTTAAATCTGATTTTTCTTTACACTCAAAAGACATTCTCTTGTTGCAGCGCAGTATATTTAGCATGTTTGGCATCAATTGATCATACTTTGTTAATGATATTTAACAAATGTGTGTGGGAAACAAATCTGTAAGTGTTTACAAGGAAACACCTTTATGATAAATTGTCCTCTTTTAAATATTACAGTGCAGAAATCCAATATTGTAACCATATCAATTAACCCAGTGATGAGCTTAAAAAAAATTTACCAAGGAAACTTGATCAACATTTTAAATCTTACGATCTGATGGTTAATTCTCTCCTCTAGTTGCCACACATTTGCTTAAAAATTAGTCACTAGAAATTGGTGTTAGATTAAGAGAACAACTTCTACCTGATACGTTTGAGTATTCTCGATATCTGTATGCCTGATAATGTATGGATATTATAGGGAGAAGTTATATGTTAATCACTTTTGGGAGTTAAAGAGTTAATAGCACAGATAAACTTTATTTATCAAAAGAGAGATTTGATGACCATATTGTTAAGGAGAATTTTATACCCAGCAATACTATTAACAATAAAGCTGTGGAAGATAGCAGCGCTGATACAACTGTTTTGATACTGAAACACACCCTCACAAAAAGAAACTGACGCCTAACAAATCCCTCACCTCTTGACCCCTGAGAGGGAATTGCATCTAATTTCTCCTTACTATATCATCTCTGAATCACACATTATGGTCACAGGAATGTAGCATATGATCACCAACTAAAGAAGTTCTTGGGCTAGACAAATTCTCCTAATTTTTAGCACCGAAGGAAAAGTTTGGAGAATATGCATACTGATGTTAGGGTGTGAAAGGTTGTTAGATCATATCACAAATTTCTTAGATTGTTTGTTTTTCTTGGAATACAATATATTATCATATTTGAATTTGCTATTATCAAGTCACCCTTTCTTTTTAATTTATGCCGATGTTTTCCAGTGCCTGTCTAATCAAACATCTCATATGGAACATTTTAGATTTATAAATTAACATGATATGATGGAAAATAACATTTTAGAGGGACTTTCAGTATTAAATGAAACAAACTATTTGCTTGTTATTGATAATGACTGGTAAATATTTGTTATATAGTTTCAGTTTCATATTGAGTGCTAATTAAGGATCATGGAAATATTCTTGTTTCAATTTCCCAGTGAAATATTGAATAAATTTAAAACTTTTTGAGAGGAATCAATAAGATCTGCTGTGTGTTAATGTTGTTACAGAGGATAATGGCTTTAGAAGCTTTTAGTGGGAAATGGCAACAAATATAAAAAAGAACTCAGTAACTCACCTAAAAGCCATGCAAGGATTAATTTACAAATCTGATCAAAAATTTTTATGATCTTTGTATATATTGTTTGACTGTGTAAGATATATTTGCCACTGTACCAGTCAGTAACATGCTCTGAATTTGTTAGATACTCAAATATTTTTAATTGTAATCCATTAAGCAAGGACTGTCTTGTCAAACATTGCAATGGGTTATATCACTTTGAACTGTTGTATGTCTGAAAAAATTGTAAAAATATACATGAAAAAATTATGTGCTTCTGGTTGGCTGAAAACAAATGCTATTTTTGTTTGACTCGAGTACAACATCATCAGGTGCTAATGCAAAGTTGAAACACATTGTAGTGCAAATTACAAATAGTTCATGCACTGTCAAATCTTGTCTCTCTTGACTCTCTGGGATGCTTCTTTGTTGTAAATTATGATTTAGTAGTAATAGCATGGTTTCTCATGTAATTTGTTGTAAAAAAAACACTTTTAAATTCTTCAAAGACTACAAACTGCACTTTACAAACTGCCATACAGTAAGTTACTAAAACAAGGAATGACCTTAAGAAAACCCTAAAATTATTTTGACTGTTGTCTAAAATGGCCAGAAATGAAAAAATAACCTTCACCAATATCTAAGGTAACCAAAACTGACATTTAAGTCTAGCTAAAAAAGATCCACAATAGTAGCTGGTGGTAATGATCGAAGGTGTTCTTAGTGATCTTAAGTAGCAAACAGAAACAGAAACAGAGGAGGTGAGCTCCCAGCTCACACTTTCATTTCTGTTGTTCTGTTGTTTATGGCTGGCAATCACTATAATTTTAAATTGTTTCAGTAAAGTTAAAATGTCATGTTATATCATTTTAGTCAGTGTAAGACATCAGTCAAAGTTATTTTAGGTCATTTTTGGTATCACTCAAGGTCATTCTAGACATCACTCAAGGTCATTTTAGGTCACTCCAGGTCATTTTAGTTCATTTTAGGTCATTCCTTGTTTTAGTAACTATGTTGCACTACAGGCTTGTGCAATGGTTTGTTGTCTTTGAATAATTTACGTGTGCTTATAAACACTTAAAAAAATTGCACTCAAAATCATGGTGCAGTTTTACTTAATATACAAACTTTACAACTTTTGTCACAATTGTAATTCTTGTTTGTTGGTTTGAATACTAGGCTCACAACTGCAAAGTGATCCAGCATTGTTTTGTGATGTAATCAATGTTCTTTTCTTTACAGCATGTCCTGGTACACCTGCATGCAGTGGGCGTGGCTCTTGTAATGACACAGTGGGTGGTGATGGAACATGCACTTGTCAGGTGAGATTACAAATCATAATTATACTCTTATTTTAAAAGCAGTTGCAGATCTTTGAGCGAGGCAATGAATCTGAGATAGATTTGCATCAATGAAAAAACAGCTCAATATTATCAAGAATAGCCTGCTGGCTCAAACTACCATGATTGATGATTATTTGCAAAGTATTGTAGGTAATTTTAATTCCATTCACTATATCCAGTACAGTCAAACCTGTATTAGGCAGTCACCTTTGGGGAATGGCTTGGTGACCTCATAATACAGGTTTCCCAGAATATCATAAGGGTATTAAAAAAGAAACAATAAAAACATCCTTTTATGCGAAAGTTGATCACTTAATGTACAATAATTTGCTCAATGATAGTACCAACATTGATTTTGGGAGATAGATATATGTGGAAGATTTATTTAGTCTAATTGTTTTGTGTGAGTGGTCCTGCTTTAAGAAACCAATAAATTCAGGTAGAAGAAAATACAAACAGGCCATTGGGACTCAGTGAAAGGTGACCACTACTGCTTGATGGAGGTGAAAATTACAGCAATTAAGGGGTACTAACACTTTATGGACTTAGATAACCAAGCGCTTAATACAGGGTGACTGCTTTAAATATGGTGCGGCCTAATACAGGTTTTACTGTTAGTTCTGATTCCTTGTAATTTATAATGCCAGCAAATTGTCATTGATTTGTTCTTATATATCCTGCTTTCACTTAAGGATGGTTTTAAGGGATTTGCATGTGAGCTGTGTAGGGATTCAAACAAATTTGGTAGTTACTGCAATGAAAGTAAGTATTACGTGTATTTACACACTACCTCAGGCCTCATATGAGTGCACAAGATTTTGACCACTGTGATGACGAATGTAATTGTTGACAAGAGTACAGAGCGTGTTAAAGCACTGTAAGTTGTTTTGTAATTACCACAATATTGACATCATGACCATTGCGTGACATGTTGACATGAACAGCATTCTTTGTACTCTTATTTAGGATGGCAGATTAGCTGATCAGATTGCAACATTATACTGCCATGATTGTGATAAAAATGATTACTTGTGACTACTTATTTTAAGAAAGGCGCCACTTTTTTGTACCTAATACCACATTTTGATGTCATCTGTGATTTGTAACTGGCAGTAACTAAACAAACCTACAGCAACATGGAACAATTATCTTTTAAATTGATTAGAAGTAGGTGATCATGTGTTAGTATTGAAGGCGATTTAAAGAGTTTAGTTTTCAAAGTTCTCTTAAAATGGAAAAAGCCATTCATAGTCAAGTATGTTTAACTTATTTTTTTAGCCTGTCTATGCAAACATGGGACATGTGATAGTGGATTGAATGGCACAGGACACTGCAAGCCAGGCACTTGTGTCTTAGGATATGCTGGGTCAAACTGTGATAATAGTAAGTAGTGGGTTACCTGTGGCCTTTCAGTGGAATCATTTCTTAGTTTTAATTATTTTACTCCTTCTTATAGTAAATTTTACTTTGTTATTTGTTAGCTTTGCCAAGATGTGACAGAAACCTTTCCTGTGGAGTTAATGCCAACTGCTTCAGAATTGAAAGTATTGATACTTGTGTATGTAACCCAGGATATAAGAATGTCAGTGGTGTTTGCAAAGGTAAAGGTCTTTCATGTGTATTAATTTTTTTCCAAAAGAGGTTTGAAGGGTTAATTAGGAAAATTTAAGGACTTTGTAGTTCAAGGAATTAACAAGAAAAAGAGAGAAAGGAAGATGAACTAGAGGATTGAGTTAGTAATACCAGTGCTCTTTAATTCAGGTCTTCCTTTGGAGTTAGTGGGTGTTATGAAACACTTGGCTTGTGTGTAAGGCTGTTTTTTCTACTTGTTGGGAGCTGTTGTTAGCATGTTGTTTTAATATATAGTTTGCGTTTGTCACTGACCAAGAAAAATCATTCTTCACATTGTTTGAACGACTTTTTCACTTTTTTCCTACCTGCCCTGTTGCTTCTAGCAATCAATCCTTGCCAGGATGGTACCCATGGCTGCCATAGTAATGCAGATTGCCTCTACCTAAGGCCAGGGAGGAACAACTGCACCTGTGCTGCTGGTTATACAGGAGATGGAATAGTTTGCATTGGTATGTTAATGTTTAAAATGGATTTTGCGTAAAAGCTTTTTAAAACCATTGTGCAGTGTTCTTACTCAAGTATAATGTTTTGAAGTCTGTTTAATGTTCTCACATTACTTTTATTATTTAGTTTAATTTGTTTAATATAAAGCTGGCCAGAGTAAATTTTTCCATGACTACTATGAAGGGCAGTAAGAGGGACTTGCCATAAGGGGAAAAAGAGCATTTGATCATGCAGAAGGAGAGCTGGAATTCAAGTTTTGTACAGCTTAGTTTGAATATAAAAGGGAAAGTCATGAAGTTTTTTAAAATTAAAAATAATTAAAATTGATCGAAACATAATGCAGCATTTTATTTGTAGGTAGTTATAAAAGGTCCATAGTAAGTTTGAAAATACTATAAGCTAGAAAATTAATTCTAAAGTTTCTGTAATGCCAGGAACAGTTTCTTATACATGATGTTTCCCTTGATGAAAGAACCATCAGTCACAGAACTTTGCATTTATTTCCAAACATTTCTTCCTTTAACAGCTATTGATCCTTGCCAGAGGAACAATGGTGGCTGTCCATCACGATCAACTCAGTGCAATTACATACATCCTGGAAAGGTAATATTGGCTTGAAACTTCAGAAATGTGAAAAATGGTATCTTATGTTTTGTACTATTTGGTAAATTTAATTTCATCAATGGTAGATGAGCTTGAAGAGGATACTATTTAGTATGTAAACCCCTTCAGGCAGCTGATATATTGGTTGATAATGTCAGCGGCTGAGAGATTGTCCAAAAAAATAAATATTTGTCTGAGAAGTGGTGGCTTTTTTTTCCACTGGCTTTGTTTCTTTTTTACTTAAATAGTCCAAGGACAATTATTATCAATGTAGACTGTGGTTATACAAACTGTAGCCTCTATTTGGCGCGAAAATTTACACAGATATGCATAGCATGTTTCCTTTTGAGTATTATCTCGTATGACTTTGTGAACAAACAGATTTTCCTCTTCAGTAACAACCATGAAAATGCTTTCTCATCTTAAATTAAGTGTATTATATGAATCAGTGCACATAAGGTTTGAAGATTGGGGAATATCACTTGAGTGATATCCTCAGATATCCTCCAGTTTTAGCTGTGGGGAATATTTGGTCACATGATGTGTTTCAACCAACTGTGGGCTACCGAAAATATTTGATGGATCATGATGTGTGATAACCGTCCTGTCACATATACAAATAAGATGGGTTGTAAAAAATGGAGCCTGTTAGATCAAGGTATGTGACTTGCCCTGAAAAAGTTTGATGGACCAGACTGTCCTATCTAGCATATCTTTAGGCCAATATCTTGACAGCATAAAGTCTCAAAGTCAAAGTTCATAATTTGATGAATCACTTGAAAAATTTGTTCACAATCATAGAGTAGCTGTAGCTGCCTTTTTGGATTTGAAAACTACACCAGTGGGGCTGGCTGTGCACTCATTGATCTGTGTAAAAATGGCAGTGGATGCGACATGAATGCAAACTGTACAATGGAGGCACCAGGAGTGAAGAGGTTTGGATTATGTTTTTATAAAAGGCTTATGTTGAACATTTAAGAGTGTCATGTGTTTCTTTAGCTACTTTACTTGAATTAATCATAATTGTTTCCTGCAACTTTAACTTAGATGCAATTGTAAGAGTGGGTACAGAGGAAATGGCACCACATGTTATGGTAATATTCTCCAGGTGAGTATGTGTCTTGTTAAAAAAAAAGGAATATAACTTACAAATTAAAGTAACATTGGCAGCTCAAAGCACATTAATGCAATCATAACTGATTAATAATGTCCAGATTGACTCAAGCGTAATGTTTTTAATTATGGATTCTCGTCTCAGGTTTTCTTTTCTATATAGAAATACCTTAGCTTCCATAAAATAGAAATCCAAATGTGATATCCCTCCCTTTCTTCCTACTACGGCCACCTCTCTCCCACAGTCATTATCCTCCTTCCCCTGTAGTCTTTGTTGGGAGGTATGGCTATCTGCAGAAGCTTGGTGGCTTAGTCACTAGGTGGGGTCCTTGGATGTGGGTACCCCATCTTTGTAAGATGATTTTTTAAGGTCAAGAAATATACAAAGTTGATACTTCAGTTTTGTGACAAAGTGCATAATTATATGGATGATCTACTTTGCATACATTTTTAATTTTCTGGTGTTTAGATACTCTCTTTACCTTTCCTTCCTACTTCATGAATATGAGGTAAAAAAAAAGAGGTTTAAGCCTCATATAAACCTTACACAAGTTTGTAACTGTTACCTCGTCCTACTTTGAAGAAGCCTTCCCTTTTCTATGCAGTACAAAATTATGTGCTAAGATGTATGTTGTTGTGATTGCAGAGGGTAAAAGACCTGAACCTTAGAGGCCCAATTGGACTCAAAGGACAATTAACCACAGCAATTGATTTGCTGACAGGTTCATTCATGCACTTGGCTCTTTCTGGAGCAGGGCCATTTACTCTTTTCTTAATGGTGAACAGCGCATTTTCAAATCTCACTCAAGAAGAGGTAATAGTTGTATTGAAAGTGGTATGTGGGTTTATTTAGAACCACCATCATGACCAGCTCCCAGTTGGCTTGTTAGCTCAGTTGGTAGAGCGCTGCACCGGTATCGCAGAGGTCATGGGTTCAAATCCCGTACAGGCCTGAATTTTTTTCAGGCCTTATTTTTACTACTGCCTAAGTAGTGCACATCACTGCGAGGATCACTTTCATTCATGTACTAGTTTTATAGGAGGTAAATTTCATAGGCTAGGAAAGACATGCAAATTAGAGCAGGAACGGTGCAGTTCGTGAATAAATCGCACCGGTGAGAGCCAATTTAACATAATTGTTGCATGTGCGAAAACAGGTGGAGTGATGCATTGGTAATTCAAGGGTATTGTCTAACAACACTTTTAAAAAGTAGTATCAATTTCATTTATGAATGTTTTTTTTACTATCTGTGAAAAAGTAAAAAACTTCTTATTTCTCCTCTATCAGGCTGTATGACACAAAATTTACATATTGACCATCTAATTTTGAAGCAAGCTTTCAAAACTGCTTTTTTAATTGAGCACTTAAAAGTTATGCTTCAATGGCTATACAAATTTGATGGTGGTCTGAACATATCTGTTGCAACATTGAAATTGTGGCAAATTTGATTTATACAGAATCTGATGTCAATTTACTGCCAGTAACCCTCTTTAGTGAAAACCCTTCACAAGAAGGTACAAGTTAATTGGCCTTATTTCCCAGCCAAAAGACTTGTCCTGCATCTTACTCACTGACACGTTTTGCTTCATCCTTAGCTTAGTGAGCTATCCGCAAACACAGACATGGCCTCACATTTTGTCAGTCGGCACTTAGTGGCTGCTGATTTAGACTCTATGTTGTTGAAAAAGTACAAGAAAGTCACAACACTACAGGGGATTGATGCAAGCATCTCAGAGTACCAGGTTAAAAGTTATTAATGCATGTTTTGATACTTACAATGGTAGGTAAGCATTTGTAGAGTGGACAAGTGTCCAGTGCTTTTGTGATCACTAATATCATCTTTGTCATTGTTTTTTACAGAATGTTATGTACTTAAAACTGGACAATCAGTCAGTAAATGCATCAGTGCTATTCCGTGATTTGTTAGCGGGCAATGGCATGATTCATGTTATTGACAAGATTATGTGGCATGTCGGAGACTATCAAGAGACGAGCTCTGTAAGTATTGGTTAGTCACCTAAAAGACTCTGGATAACTGGTTCACTTACTTAGACTCTCCTCAACAGATGTCAGCAACTGCCAGCACCATACAAAGTACTTTTTCACACACAGAAAAAGAAACAGAATGACCTAATATTGCTGATGGATCTAAACCCACCAATCACAAACTACAAACGAGCAAGTTGGGCTCTTCTTGTTATTGGCAGCTCTAGTCAGTTATTTCAGTAGAGGTGGCATAGCTCCTGATCCCCTTTCAAAGAACACTGACTCTGCCCCTCCAACTACCCACTGTAAAACTGAACAAAATGCAATACGCATCTTTTAATTTATGGGTTTTCTTAAAGTGATGTGTGAAGTTAAAGACTGACATCTCATGGAAGTCTTGCTTCCCAATTGCAAACAGTACTGTAATGATTATAATTAACCCTTCAACTCCCAGAGGTGATTAACACGGAACTTCTCCCCATTAATATCCATGCATTATCCAGCAAAAAAGTAACAAGAATACTTAAAATTATCACACAGAGGTTTTTATCTTGATCTAATGCCAAATTCTCCTAACAAATCTACCAGGAAATGTGTAACAGCTTGAGAGGAGAAAAAACAATCTGATCTTGGGAGTTAAAGGGTTAACCACTTTGTGTTCTCTTCTAGAAATCATTGCTTCAGGTCCTTTGGGCACAAAGTAGATTTTCCATTTTTGCCTCACTTTTACAGGTAGGTTGAACATGAAAATGGTGAAAGGTTTGTGGTTTTTTTGTACAATTGTTTCCGCCCTGAAAAAACTTATTAATTAGAAATGAAGATTAGAGTCGGTCAGTTATTCTATTGTTTGTCAAGTAGGAAATATTCCTCTCATATCTGTTCCTGTTTATGCAAGTTAAATGTGCATAATTTATCAAATAAAATTTTCTTTTAATTATTATAATTTGTGAGCTAAATGTGAATCTTCATTGTCTTTTTTACCAGTCGTCTGGAATTGCTGCAGAGTTGAGTGGTCTGGGAGCTTCCCTCACTATTTTGGTGCCAGCAAATTCTGCTTTTGATAAGATTGACAACAGTACCATGAGATTTTTGACCAGCACAGATGTGGTATGAATAACATGAAACTGAGAGGTCTTAGTATAAGATACACAGAGAACCCTCCACTTTTAGGAAGGTGGCAACTTTGACAATGCAAGAAACCGTATCAAATCAATTGGTTTTCTTGCTTTATAGGTTTACTTAATTACCTTACAATTTATTAACACCACTTGTGACTTCTCTACCTTGTGGTTTTCTGACTGTATATTCTTCAGTGAATTAAAATTTCTATTGTTCCTTTGATGTAGTGGATGAACAACACCTACTTTGCTTTAATTTTGAAAAAAGAGAACTAGAGGTGCAGTGAGAATGAGACAAATTATTTGATGAAAGAGAAATCAATGGCTCTCTGTAACTCAATCTGCGATCCTCATACAATTTATCACACCACTACCCTCTTTATTTCAGGTAGCATGACGTTAGCATTGAGTAATCAATAGGGATTTCATAAGCTCTGTTACCAGCACTTCACATGACCTTATTGTGTTTTTTTCTATAGGGAATGAGAAAATTGAAGTCACTTTTAAGAAACCACATTCTTACAGGAAAGGTTTGTCTCTGCCAAATGTGCATGCACAACATTTCTACCATGACTTATTACAACAAAGGCAAAAGAGTAAGCTTTGGATTCTTATTCATGTGAAGAAACCATCAAACTATTGTTTCTGTTTTTTGCCACGCTGAAAGAAACCATCTCTTTGGCTGTTGCCACTCTGTGTGCCCAAGTTGTTGAGAACACCAAAAGTCAAATCAGCCATAAGTTTTAATGCTTGAGCATGTGATGGTAATTTATTTAGTTAGATCCTCTACAAGTCACAGCAGCAGTTACTGATAACTGTTTCTTCTTTAGATGGCAGTGTTAGACTTGGTATACAGTGGCAAAGTTGTATCAGTACAGGGAGAATCATTGGAAGTCAAAGTAACTCCCTCGGTAAGTGAGCTTGTTCTTAATTTAGGCCACTTATAGTCTTATTGATAGGTAATTTTTCTATTCCCTACGTGTCTGTGGATTGAAAAGGCGATCTCATGCATGCAAACAGGATAATTATGCACGTATCACAATTTTGGACTTCCAGAAACCATAAAGGTAAAAAGTTGAATTAAAACTCAAAGCAAACTGTCTTCAACAGCCTTAACCTGTAAAACTCTCTTGCAAGACTTCACTCCATATTAACCTTTCATCAGAGGGAAATTCATTCGCTCTGACAAAGAGCTAATGCCCGAAACCTCAGCCTTAGAACTCTCTATGGTGGCTACTTTTCGTCATTAATTAATTGGGGCTGTCCTGGTGTACCGGTACACGGGGGAATTCCTATAATTGTTTTCATATCCATACATGGAGTTGTGACGCAGTTCGTTAATGTTTCGTTCCTTTGTGTACCGGTACACGAGGACATAACCAATTCATTTAATAAAAACAAATTATCTTTTAATACCTTACTTTAAGGCAGCACTACAATTTCTTCAGAAACTTACCTCCCTTTTCACTTTTTATTAGTCTGTGTGTTTGCAGTATTATTGGGGCCTCACATGATGTCTTGATGCTTAGTACATGTTGCTCTTTAGGGTCGTATTGTTGTGGATAAAGATTCCGTCATAACAGAATCAAGTGTTCTTGTCAGTGATGGTATACTTCATGTAACAGATAACCTTATCATCCCTGACGACATTGAGCCTCTGTTACCAAGAAATTGTAATGGACAGAAATTCAGTAATGTAAGTAAATGATTTGTTTGGACAGTTAGACCAACCCAATTAGGAAAAGTTGGTAAATATGGGGCAAAGAACACCAGCATTACTTCAACTAATATTGAAAATCTAGCAATGAAGACTTTGTGTTTCCAAGTTTTAATAAGTGTCAAGTATATGATAATGATACTGTGTTCTATTCTCACTTTGCGGAAGTCAAAGTGTCATCTTCATTATCTTATGGACTTTCGAATTTAGTCACGACAAGTATTTCTTTTAACATCCAAATGTTATTGTTCAAGATGGGACACTTCATGATTAAAACTGAATCATATAAAAACTTGTACGGTGCCAATTTGCATCATGGTCTTGTTTATAATGATTGTCAGTAATATTGCTGGATCAGGAATACTGGAGAATGGAACCTTTAGACTTTTGTCTGCTCTTCTGACATGTTGGCACACAAAGTATTTCTACTTTTTCAGTAACGCGTCAGATATACATGTCGTGAGTGAAGAGGATAGTCTGATTCGTGATCTAGAATGGAGTTATGTACGGCTGGCTTCTTTTGCTATCTTTTCTATTATAATATTTTAAAACTTTTGGCAGGGAATTTGTTATCGCTGTGAAGCTGTTAAAGCCATGCCAAGGACAGGTTGCCCTATAGGATATGCTCCATCAGTAAGTTCTGTGAGAACAAGATGGTTAAAATGAAATTTGCACCTAGTAGACTAAGTATAGGTAACAATATGATTTCAATTGCAATTTGGTGTCAATAAGCGCAAGTAAATTTTTCAAAGATAACAAATTTGCACCAACCTGTTTTTTGGCAGTGCGTGTGCGCTATTTGTAATTTGCTTTCGTATTACAACTTTGCACACGTGTTACATGAAAATTGCACTCGTTCTCAGCCAATCAGACGTGCGTAGTTTCTTCATGTTTATTATAAACCCCTTAACTCTCATGAGTGACGAAGACAGATTTTCTCGTTACAATATCATTACTAGATTAAGCACACAAGTGATATTAGTTGACCCAATACATTTTTTCAGAACCAACTTGAGCTTTCCAGAGTTGTAGCAGACGGTACTATGGAAAATTACCATTGAGATCATTGAAGTGAAAGGGTTAAAGATTTGAAGCACATTTGCTTAGTTTTTGGCAAGGCTGCTTGACGTTATTTCTGCTTATTGCAGGTTTCACTGTATTTTAAGTTCAATAAGGGTGAAAACTTACTATAGGCTGTTTTGTAATTTTTAAAACTACTTCATGCCTTGTCTTACACTGTGATAAATTTACTGAAAGCTGTTATATTTTTTCCATTTCAAGACTCTTTTAAATGGTATTTTGGATAGAAAAGAAGCTTAGAAACTGGCTGCTAATCTTTCATATTGTCTTAAATATTAATTTAAGAGTTTGTCTTTTAATTTTTTAGCCCACAACATCTGTGTGCTACTATCGACTGAGTTTCCGAGGAATTCCTATTGGAATTTTCCGCGGCTGTAGGGCCACCACATGTTCAGCACCAGTAAGTGACAAGTGATAATCGTAAATGATTAAGTATCCTAGAGTGTTTTTTTAGCTCATTGAGTCAAGCCTTTTCTTGACAACTTCAATTTCAGATGCCAAAATTCTTGTTGACAAGGAATTTTTAGCAATTGTTGAGGCATTGTAATGAAAGATTTAACGACGAGGAAGGATGCCAGTTACCAGCCAATTAGATAAAAACATGAGCATGTTATTTATCTATATAGATTGCCCTACAAATTACCCATACTGCTTTAGTTGCGCATTTCAGTCATGGAATAGCTCAAATGATTTTTAATGCATTTATTGTTTACAACATACATACCTTTGCTTGTGGAGTGCAGGTTAAATGTATATTTTCAATTCAGCAATAATTTTAAAAAAATATCTCTAGAATTATGTTTATGTGTGCAAGCCCTATGCCATGGTAGTTTAAACTATTGTCCATTCTTCTTCTTAATGGTGTTTTCAATTTCTTTCCTACTTTTCAGGAACGAGAATGTTGTGCTGGGTTTTATGGTCCATCTTGCCATCCTTGTCCTGGGCCTTTTGATAATGCTTGTAATGGAAATTTAAATGGAAAGGTACAGTACGAAACCTGATAGAATAAAACACACAACAAAATTAAATACTGTATGGTGTTTTGCGATATTTAGACAGGCTGACCCAGTTCAGCTTAAAGCTGGTTTGAATAGATGCCTGCATGAACAGTAACAAGGCCAGATCACAACACTAGGAGCTACGTTCCCTCCTCTTTGGGAGAAGTGTGAAGGTTCTTTAACGTCCCCCACTAACCAGTACAGAGAAGAGATAGGAGACTGGACCTACGGCTTATCGTCCCTATCTGAGGAGACTAGAATGTCTAACCATTAACCGTTGTCAGCGCTTGGTTGTTTTAAGACCCTGAGCATGTTGGTCCAGTCTGGGGCTTAAAACCTCGACCTTCTGCACGGCAGTCCGCCACTCTATAACGTGAGCTAACCTGGCGCGGCATTAAATACACTCTGCTTAAGTATTGATTAGATACAGAATAAATGTTTGATAATTCGCAGGATGTTTTAAAATTTGTACTGCCCAAAAACTACATGCTATTCAGACTGAACTGAGACACGTCTACAAAGTTTACTTACTTACTGGCCACTTCGCTCCTCAAACCCATATTGGAAGCATAACTTTGTCATATTCTGTCTAAATGCACTGTTATGTCGGCAACGTATTGATAGACTTTATCAGAGGTCAATTATGGTATTTAAATAAATGTTGGCAACATTTTTTGTGTTACAACAGTGTGTTGATAAAATCAGTGGCAATGGAACTTGCATATGTCAACCCAACTTCAAGGGAACAGCATGTGAACATTGTCAGGAGAGCAAAAGCTTTGGACCGTTCTGCAATCAAAGTAAGTTGATTAATTTGATATTCATGTATTATTAAAAGACACTTACTTGTCTCTAATTAAATACATTAAATGCTCTTTCCTGATGTTTTTGTTGTTACTTTCTTTCAATGGTCTCCCATGCGTGGGAACTTTTACCCAGTTCTTAGGTTGTCCTTTGAATACCAGTTCCACCCTAGTAGCAAAAATCGTTCTTAGGATTCTTCCCTTTGCTTGTTCCTCTTAGCTTGCACATGTTTGCATGGCACATGTGACAGTGGCTATCCTCAAGGGAATGGAACATGTAAGGCTGGATCTTGTTCTCCTGGTTTTCATGGTGACAACTGTGACCAACATGATGTCCCATGTCCTGGGTCAGTGAGTCGTCGTTGTCATGCGCATGCCACTTGCCGACGACAAGGAAATATGGACAGGTGAGAAGAAAACTGAGCTGTACCTACCAAGTTTGTAGAGAAACCATAGGGAAAAAACTGTATTGAAATTTAAGGTAACAATACCTGATATCCTAAATACTAGCCCGTTGTGAGACTTCTAGTTTCCTTATCTAATCCATGTAAATCGTCGTAATCTTAGCTGTCAGTGCAACTTTGGCTATGAAGGTTCTGGTATACAGTGCTCTGAAATTGATCCTTGTTCTAAACCTGATCGTGGAGGCTGTCACCATGAGGCAACTTGCACGAAAACTGGGCCAGGTACCAACAACTGTACATGTGATGATGGTTTCCGTGGTGATGGAACAGTATGTGTTGCTATAGATCCTTGTTTAGAGGAAAATGCTGGAGGTTGCCACAGTAATGCCGAGTGTCAGTATGTCGGTCCTGGACAGGTTAGTGAGTTATATATCAATTCGGAGACAATTAGTAGAGTCATTTTTTGCTACAAATTTTATTTCTCTTTTAGCATTTTTATTTCATTTACGGAAAATGTACCCCCTGCCTTATCCATTTGCTACCATCTGGTTGTTTTTACTTGGCCATTGCTTTGATCCTCACCTTGAGAATGAGGCTTAGGGTGAAAATGACCATTTTGCATATTAAAGCAATTTGTTCTCACAGAGCACCTGTATCTGCAAGTCAGGCTACACAGGAAATGGTTCAACATGTTTTGAAGTTAATCCTTGTCTAGTCAACAATGGAGGGTGCTCTCTTGATGTAAGTTGTGTGGCTAATTTGTAAAATACTGTAAATTGAAATTTTTAGAAATTTCACATTTGAAGATTTTCACTCGCTGTTTGCTTTCAAGCCTTAAGGTCTTCCAGAAGTCAAAACAGTTGTATCAGATTTTATTCGCAGTACCTGGAATGCTAAAGAAGGGCTAGAGTAGTAGTGTTATAGAAATGTCAGCTTTAAAACTCTTTACCGTGGTTCATTTACTTAACCAATTCAGTTGATAAAACCAAATCATAATGAGTAATTACAGTTCATGTAGGTAAAGAATATAGATTTTTTTTGCGTTAACCAACTCTAACTAAAAAAGCAATTCAAATGCAGAGTTCTTTTCGATATAAAACCTAATACGCGTGACTTCATTTTCTGTCTTCTTTAACTTTCCTGGCTTAAGTTTCTAAATACTGAAGGGAACTCTAATATCTTTAGAAAATCAAAAAGTCTGGATTGCAGCGGCTATGTAATGAGTTTAAGAAAATAAGCGACACTTTTTAAAAACATGTTTTAACAGTTCTTCTGTCATCTTCAGCTCTGATTTTACAAAGTATATAGTTGAATTTAAAGTATACAACAAAATGCTGATTGGACAAAATGTACAGTAACAGAGCAATGTATGCAGTCACAAGGAAAGTTTAAATTAACACGATTAAGTTGATAATAAAGTGTAGGTTGCTCCCACTGAATGTGGGTAGCTTCTTCAATTCAGGTTTACCCTAGTCGTAGCGGAGCTCGCAGCGCGCGCAGCGTTGCCCCATAAATATAGGAAATAGTAGTAATAGGATATATTGTCTTGGCTTTTAGGCAAGGTGTTTGCGAACTGGTCCTGGGAATTACAGTTGTCATTGCATCAGTGGATTCATTGGGAATGGTTATACTTGTCTAGGATCTATTGTTATGGTAGGTAATGATATAAAAAATGAAGAGAGATGTTCAGAAGTTGTCCTGAGGGAGGGACAAAAAAAAATTGAAAATATTAAGAACATTTGTTTCCATCTGAGATTTTGGGCTCAAACCCAGACTTTACGACTTAGAGTTTAGTGCGTTAACCAGTAGACCCACGTTTCTCACACACCATAATTTGGCTAAATCGTAGCATCTTTTATCTTAAACAGATCATTAGACAGAAAAATTCAAAGCTGGAGAATTTTATCAGGGTAAGTAGATTTATTATTGTCTGACTGCAGTTCAAACCGCTTACAGTCGTATATTTCATGACTTCAGAATTTTTTGACTGAAGAGTGGTTTTTGCTGCTTCAACTAAAATAATAATGACAACAAAATCTTTTCAATTATTGCGGTCCATCAAAGTTAACATAACGATGAATGCGAGGATAATAATGATGAGGATCGTGATGACGAAATTTACTTTTCATGGCATATAAATTGACATGAATTAAAGTTTTTTGCTCTTTTCATGTTCAAACAGCAAGGAAACATGCTGCACTATATATCAGACCCAAGGAAGAACATCACTATGTTTGCTCCATCAGTGTCAGCAATTTCACAGTTATCTGATGATGATAGAAAATATTGGACTAATAGCACAGAGAGACTTCAATATCTAATAAGGTACATATATACAAAGGAGGGAAGACTTTCAAGAAACTGTATTTCAAGACAGTTTGGTTTTATCAACTGAGCTGTTATAATGAATTGGCCTCAGTGAAGAGTCTCTAAAGTTGATGTTTCGAGCTTTAGCCTTTCGCGCGAGGTGATTATAGCGAGGTATGACGCAATCCTCGACCAGTCGGAGCGTGCATCACTGTAATCAATTAAACTAAATGTGCTTTAACAACTTTTATGACTTTTTCTTATCAGGTATCATTTGGTGGAGCAAGTGTATAATCTAGAGACACTGAAAAATGTGCCATCACTGAACACCACGAATAGCCTCATGTTAAATGTTACTACTCAAGGTCAAAAGGTAACCAATTATCATTCTTACGAATCTTTGAATGTCAAGCTGTGTTTGCTGTATTTTGGACGCAAGAAACAAAAATTTAAACATGTCCTGTACTCATTGGCAACAAGCTTGCCCAGGCAGAAGTGTTTTGGAGGTGATCATGACTACTTTTTAATAGAAGTTATCATCTTTTATTTCAGGTATTTATTGGTGGAATGGCTCAAATTATTCAAGCTAACATTACTGCAGAAAATGGAATTGTACATATCATTGACCAGGTAAGACTGCGACATGATTCCGCCATATTTGCAACATTTGTATGTTGGTCCACTTTTTTGGTGCTTTGTATTTGTTATACCAAGGTGAATCTTGCAAGCTACTGGCCCCTTACGTCTGAAGCCTATTCCGGCCTCATGGGCTTACAATGAGTAGGAGTACTCCCACGGCCATTTTAGGTAACGTTAGTTGTCCCTTCCCCTTTTGCGATTTGTCAAGTCGCCTTGAATTTTGAGTAATTTCCATTTTTTTCTTTTGTGTGGAGAGAAGCACTGTGAGTGTTAAGTGTCCTGCCTTAGAACATAACGCAATAAAATGGACATAGATCGAACACAAACCATTTGACTTTCAGAGTCTAGCCACTGCAACTATATATTAGGAACCAACTGGCCAAAATAAACAGTCCTATAGCTGGATTGGGAGAGGCACTTCAAGGTGCTGAATATTATGCTCAAGAACATCACACCAAGTTCTCGAGTTTGATATCCATTAACCTACGGCGCCGCCATGATGCTCGGAGCAAAGACATTTACGATTGAATTTCTGAGTCTCATATTGGTTATACGTTTTTGCTCTTTATTCAGGTCCTTTTGCCGTCTCGTCTGTCGTACGAAAATGAGCTTCCACTGACGTCGGATCTTCTTAAAAGTATTCCAGAGTTTTCCGATTTCACCAATATCTCACAGGTAATCTTTTGGCTTTACTATTACGAGAAATAGAGTCAGAAGTACACGTTGGCAAAACAAGATTCATCTTTACGCAGTTTTAAAAAATTTCTGTGGGTACAGTTCAAAGTTAACTCCAGTTTTTTTATCTAGTGTTGTTATGGTAGTCAAACGTGTCAAATAAACTCAAAATGTTCTGAAAAATAATTGGAACTTTCTTGATACCTTTTAAGGAACTCATTGATAGAAAGTTTGGCACTGTTGATCTGTCAAAGAATCGGTATTTAAAATTTTTACACCATTTTTGATCCACTTTAATAAGCATGGTGATCTACCATTGTATGAGGTAACTCTATGACAGATAATCCATTGGCTTTTTATTTATCATTTTTTCTTATTCTTTCCTTTCGATTTATACTGGCCATTAAAGTGTTATGAATGAATGAATAGATAGACCTGCAAAAAGGAAACAATATTGTAGAAAAACAATTGAACAAAGAAATGAATGAATAGGTAAATTAGGAAAGGCTTATCTAAGTAGCAACCTGGTTAAATGACAAATAATTGAATTTTTTATTTCAGAACATGAACCTGTTTCTCTCCCTGGATGCCTGTGAGTCGTGTACTGTATTTGCTCCAACCAACTCCGCTCTCAAAAAATATGCCCTTGTAGACACGCAGACGCTGGTAAGCTTAAGAATACGAAAAAAAATTATCTTCTAAAAGGAACAGCTGCTCTCGTTAGCGGCACCGTATAAGTAAAGCTTAATTGTACACAAAATATTGACATCACAGCAAACTGTATAAAACATACTAAAATGAACCATTTGATGTTTTTTTGTTTGCATTTGTCATAACGTTCAACAAATGACGTTCGAAGTTTTTTTGTTGGAAGGAAGTGGTTCGAAAGACATGGTTGCTTTGAATTTGTCTTAAAAAAGGACATTGTCTGCAGTCAAATGTTACAGCGTATTTTTGCACCAAATTACACTTTTGGTCATATGAAGTATTATCATGCTAGATTAAAAATTCAGTCGGTGATTCAACTGACAGTTACATGATGATGTCTCTTTCAGACGCCAGATGTCCTTAAGTATCATATTGTGAACCAATATCTCACAGAAGAAACAATTCGTAATGGAGAAGAATTCCCATCTTTGCTTGGGAATGGGAGGGATTACCTTGTGAAAATCACTAATCCTAGGAAAGGAATGGTTTGTGTAAAGCTTTTTTGAAATTTTCTAGCTGTATTCGTAGCCACCATAGTAGCCACCCATATGTTGTCAAGTTCCAACCTTTTTTCTGTGTCAAAAAGCGCACAAGACTGAGGCTATTGATGAACATATTTCTAAAACCTTTAGTTAATCCAAATGTATAATAAACATCTTAAGGGACTATGTCACGTATGACCGTGAAAACCATTGCAAAAGGACAGATACATGTTTCAGTAGTTAAGGGGGTGAGTCTGGAAGAAGTCTTAGAAAAATTCATACAACGATTAATATTATGGAAAAAAACTCATCTGAGACAGACGACAGCGAGACGTCTCAACGAGACAAATTTAAGATTTTTGGTCTATTTTTTGAGAATAGTTTAGCTTTGTTAACTGCCATTGGCTGATGTACTTTTTCTCTTTTCGAGTCACCTAATTTCTTTCGTTTAATTACCTTTTTACCTGACGATGTATTGCTACAATTTTGAGGAGAAACTACTTAATAGTCATTCTTGAGATAGGAAAGACTGGGAGACAATGGACAGCCATCTTTCATATTTTATCCTCAACAGCTGCAAGTCAATGGAATTGATGTTGTCGTCAAAGGTCACAAAGCTAGAAGAGCAATAGTGTATGGCATAAATGGTGTACTTAAACCAGTTAAGAGGAACTGTGATGTTGTTACGAAATCGTCACGTCTCGTAAGTGCCTCAATGAAATACATACTATCAGATACGAGAGACTACTTTGTTGAGGGAACCTGATTTGAGCTTTAGCTGAAGATCTTCATGATAAACCTACTTTCAGATTCTTCTAAAACATAATTTTATCATCAAGTAAACAAGTAGAGCTGATTTTTTAATGGAAACCGTGGACAGTTTGGAATGGTGTAATGTTGTATCTTTGCTTTTCAGGGATACTGTACATATTGCGACGTATTTGTCCCAACATGTCCAGCGGGCTGGACCAAAATTGTGAGTGACTGAAATTAAGCTTTTGATTTGTTTTAATTTGTTTACTTTCAGTTGATTCTTTGATAATTGAGCTGACTAAACGGAAAGCTTTATTTCAGCATCAGTTAAAATTATTGCATTTAATACAAAGTTACCACAACGTTCAGAAAAAATATCAGAAGTGAAATACTGGATGACGTTTCCCATGTAAAACATATGATCCACTGAATTTCTTGCTTTGAGAAGTCACTGTATTGGCTGACGGCAATTAAATGTATATTGGTTTGTAGAACTAAAAAAGTCCGGATCAATATCAGTATCTGGGCAACTGCCCACCTACCCCTCCCTAACTCAACAACAGCCAATTGACAACAACTTGAGGTTAATGTTGGGTTAGGGAAGGGGTAGGTGGGCAGTTGCCCAGATACTGATATTAATCCAAAAGTCCTTATTCTGGCAGTATGCAGGAAGCTTGTTTCCATGGACTTTGTTAACCCTTTCACCCCTAAGAGTGACTAGCATCTAATTTCTCCTTACAATATATCCCTTGAATCACACGAGAAGGTCACAAGAATAAAGGAAATGATCACCAACTAAAGAAGCTCTTGATCGTTAAACAAATTCTCCTTATCAGCACCTTAAGAAATTTATGATGAACAGTATGGATAATATGCATACTGATATTAGGATGTAAAAGGTTAAACGGTCAGTCTCCTATAGCTCAGCGGTAAAGGGTCCGAAAAACTAATTGGAAGGTTATAGGTTACAATTCCTACTGGACCATTGTACGTTTTTTTTTTCCGAGTAGGCTTGTGCCATTCACTGAATAACATCGTCGTTCAGTCCTTGTCCTATGTAATAGAACCAAAACATCGAACTTCAAATGGCAGCAGTATCAATCATTATATATTCATGGTATAATGGTTTCTTGGTAACCTCTACATTTCTGATCCTTTCAGGGCCTTGTGCTGAATACATGTTGGGTTCGAATATTAATCTTCAGGCTCAGAGGCTGCCAAGCACTATGTGAAAAAACTTCTGTAGTATGTAGCAACCATTATCTAAACTGATCAAAAGTTTTATTGTGGTAATTAGCTATTTTGTTTAGCAACCTAATCTAAAAGGGGCTTTGACAATATGGCGATTACTTCGTCTGTTGCCTGTAGAATGTACTCGTGTTAAATATTCATCTCATAAGCGATTAACAACTGGGACGTGGCAAAACAACAACTTGAAATCGCCGAAATTTGCGCGGGTCTAGAAAGAAATCTCTGACGGAAAATTATTTAAATTTCCATTTGGAACTCAACGCTGCTAACATACGATATACTGGAGATGACGTGTGGCGTCGTAAGAGACGGTTGAGAGATCCAGCCATGCGCGAAACTCTAAGGAAAGACATAAATTCATTTGTTAATCGATGTATTCTGGAATATTGCCGTCCTGGCTGCTTAAGGTCCCAAAATTTCACTAACTACAGTGTTTACAGAAACGCTCCCACCTAGGTGATCACAAGTTAGGATTGAATCTTTCCCCGCATGTATCAATTCCTGTTTTAAATCGATGAATTTAGCACAAAGAGTACTTTTCAGGGTATAGTCGCCATCTACTCTTTTTTGGCCAACCTATCTGCAATAAAACTTTTTGAGAATCTTCCCTAACTTGTTTTGAACTCTTTTCAGATCAAGAGATGCTGTGATGGATTCTGGGGTCAAGACTGCCAATGTAGGTTAAGTTGCCTGTGTTACTGTTTTACCGGTTTGGGATAGAGACATTTGGGAAATATATGTGCTTTGTTTTTAATGCATAAATTGGATGTATATATTGACTTCGTTGTTTTTGTTTCCTATGGACCTTGCGCTGTGTTGGGTTGTATAAGTACGGAAAGCCTGGCCTTTGTTTGGCCATTTTGAAGATCTAAAGACGTCGTACTTATGTCACTTCATCTTAATAAATTTGGTAGAAATACTTTATTCATGTCTTGGTGAAAACCAGCATAAAGTTCTTGCTCCAGACCCGAGCAGGGTTCACAGTGTTCATAACTAGTGTTCAGATTTGCTCTTATAAAGCCTGGTTGCCGCAAATGGTTAACTTTTGTTGTAGGTCAACATGTGTAACTTTGTAGGGCAGCCGACATTTCTGAAACGAGAGCCCTTAGGCATTTCATACTCACCTTCAAATGGTTTTTAACTGAAAGTGCTTCTCAGTTTTTAGATGATGTGCATAAAATGGTTGTTTTTGGCTCACTTCTTTACTATAGACATTATTATCACCTCTTCTTTTTAGTATGTCCTGGAAATGTTACCAACCCGTGCTCTGGTCATGGCGCCTGTGATGATGGCAAAACTGGAAGTGGTCACTGTCAGTGTGATGCAAACTTCACTGGTACAGCATGTGAGAAATGTATTCTTGGAAAATATGGAAGTAACTGTACAGGTGGTGAGTATCTGTTTAGTTAAAATGTTCTAAGCAACTTCCTTTTCTTCCACAGGGTTTTAGATTTTGGCTGCACTGAAAAATGATTGTTTTTGAGGTTATTACCACTGCAATGTTTGCAAAAGAAGTTGTCTTGTTTGTAACAGTGCATTGTGCTGGCCTTTTTCTCTTCCTTAACTTAATGGACCTTCTATAACCATTCAGAGACTCGTATCACTGAAAATGTTTTTATTTTCTTGTCTTGTCAGAATGCAAATGCACTAATGGAGTTTGTAATGATGGTATTAATGGCGATGGAGGATGTTTCTGTCACCATGGTTGGAAAGGACCTATTTGCAATACCTGTAAGTTCGTATTTTCGAAACAATTTGTGATAAAACAAAATTAGGAGAGCTTGCTATCCTTTGCTGTAAATGATCTGTTTAATTGCTCAGCAAAAAAAAACAAACAAACAAAGCAAGGGTTGGAAATGAGCGCTTTGAGAAAAGCTTGCGTGGAAGAATGTCACTTTAATAACTTTCAGCTACTGCTCCCCATGACACCTTTTCTTACTTGTAAGTGCTGTTAACAGCCTTTGTAGAAGTCTGCATTTGACTTGATTCAGGAAGTCTGTGGTTTATCCTGGTATTTTTGAATGTTTGACATATTTATTTTTTCATAGCTGCAAATTTTGACAACTGCCTTCCAACCAAATGTAGTCGAAATGCCACGTAAGTACCAAACTTAAGGATATGGAAAACTTTTTTCAAGTCCTTTGTGAAGCATTGCTGATGTCCTACTTTTGGAGTGACAACTATAAACTATTTATCGTTGGAAAGGTTGTGAAACCTGCCATGCTGTTACAATTTTGTTTCCGACTGTCGAACTATTCGGAAAATAAGGGCTTGTTCGATCGAAACGAACAATGTCCTTTGAATAATTGTTTAAGTATTGAATTTGATGGGAGAACCGAAATTTCTGTATCCATAGGTGACGATCTGGTTAACAACAGTTTTTTGATTGTGAAGTATAAAGTATATCACTCATCTTTCAATTATCAGTTCGTGATTTTATTTTATCGTTTTACCAGATGCCGCGGACAGAGTGGTAGTGGTAGATGTGAATGTGATTTTGGTTACACAGGCAATGGAACCTACTGCGCAGGTCAATTTTTTGCTCCATCTCTTTATTTAATTCAAGGTTCTGCTGGAGTACTCATGTAGATGTTCATTTTTATTTACAGAAAGTAATGCATGCGCTGTCAACAATGGTGGCTGTCATCAAAATGCCACATGTGTTAAGAATATAACTCTGCCTGGCCTTAGATCTTGCAAATGTAATGCAGGATTCACTGGAGATGGGTTTGTCTGCTTGGGTAAGTGAAACATACTTTTTAGTTGATTGGTGTAAGTTCCCAACAGAATTTCCTTTTTAACTGCTTGACTTCTCTCAATTGCTTTAATAGCGAATGGGTATGATTTTTGGTTTTATAACATTTACACAAAATGAGACCGGGAGATTCGTTCTTTCTTGTGAGACTCCCACATAAGTTTGAGTGGTTGGCACACCTGCCACAACTATCGATCAAAACTACTGATATCTTTTCTTAAACAGAAATAGATCCATGTCAGCGTAATAATGGTGGCTGCCACATCAATGCAACTTGCTTCAGCACAGCTCCCGGGCAGGTGAGAGATAATTACTTAGTCCGGCGCCTGCAATTCAAAACAGAATTGTGTCATTGCGTACTATGATAATGATGAACATTGACTATTATTTAAAAAGAGAAATATAATCGTTTGTCCTATGATGTGGTCACTTCGGGTGTGGTTCGCGACGTTTCGACTGCATACCGCCAGTTTCCTTCAGGCGATGAGGTCGATTGAGTACGCGAACTTAATCGAAACGTCGCGATCCACATTCGAAGTTACCACATCGTGAGACAAACAATTGTATTTCTCTTTTGAAGTGTTATTTACCACGATTAATAACCTCAACCTATTTTACGACATAAATTATTATTATTGATATAATCAGTCTTTAAAGTTACCTCTTATCTTTTTAGAGAAACTGTTTTTGTAAAAAGGATTTCTCAGGAGACGGTGTTAGCTATTGTTTTGGTGTTAATCCATGTGATGTGGTAAGTAACCTGGCTAATCTTTAATGTTGATTTCATCGATAAGAACCTAGGAAATACTTGTTTGCCGTTTAGATTTCCAAATTGTTTTACATGATGGTATTAGTTATATCGTTGCTGTTCGTTCATTATTGGACATTTTGGGCAAAGTCTAAGGTGAAGTGATATTTCTTTCATATCTTAATGTTGACACCATGAGTTGAATATAGTCAAGCCACTCTTTTCGGTTTTCTTGTTTCAATTTTGGGGATAAAAAGATTAAAAAGTCCTCATAGAATCATTGAATTGTCATATCTTATGCAATATATATCAATTTTTTTAAATCAAAGATGGCAACCATAATGGCTAATGACGAAAATCACCATCACCCATATAATGATTGTCTTGTAGAGCTCATCATCTAGCACCACCCCTCTCCCTTTGTTTTTACATAGGTTGTAGGTTCAGTGGTTTAGGGAGGGTGTGTAGTAACACAGAAAAACGTGTTTATTTCCTAAACTTGATCCTTTTGATCTTGTTGTATGGTTTTTGTCAGGGCAATGGAGGGTGTAGTGACAGAGCTATTTGTCAACAAGTTGGACCGCACCAAAGGACGTGCAAGTGCAGGAAGTTTTACGTTGGTGATGGTATCACATGTATTGGTGATATATCAGAGGTAATGACAAAATACCCGTTGAACAGCTTGTTCAATGAGAGAAATGAGAATACCATTAGTATGTAGAAAGTAAATTTTACTATGACCTGTGGATGAGATTCGAAATGATGTAATTGATCTTCTACTATTTCTTGGGAGGTCATAACAGAAAAAGAAGTCTATAACACTCGAACTTTGAACAGGGATTGAATTGGTATATCCCTTCCAACTGAGCGTTGAGGCGGAATGTATATATATGGGTTCCTTGTTTCTTGTCGAGGAATACATCATAAATATTTTGTCTGAATTAAATGATATTTTGAGCTTAAGTGGACATGAAAAGTCTTAGAATGATCTTCATAAGTTAATTGCTCAAAATTCATCGCAGAGAGAAAAAGAGGTTTGAAAAAATTCAAGCTTTGAAAGTGACTGAGTGTAGTTTGTTGCTGACTGTTTCAATTCTGACAATTCGATGGAGCAGTGCGAGTGAACCCAAAGTATCTACCCGTAATAGGTGTTTAACTCATAGAGGTCAGAGGTCAGAGGTCAGCTGCTGATTCAATTAAATTTATTGATTCCTTTTTGTCGTTTAAGGCTCTAAAGCTTGATCCCCAACTGTCAGGTGTGGACATGCTACTCAGGGTGAGGCAAAATTGGCTATTAATTTTCTTTTCCTTAGTTTCATTTGGAACCATAGCTTAGGTATAGAATAAATGAATTCCGCATCATGTAGCCAGTATGAATGCTTTAAATACCTTTCCTTTGGAACTGTTGTCCTCCAACCTTTTACTTTCTCTAGTACTCGATAGATTTTCCATTGATTGACTGTACTTGGAATTGCCTATCGATCTTCCTGTATGCCTACTTGTCTGTCTTTTTGTCGTTGTTCGACTTTTCAATGTGACTTTTCATGTTCAACTTGAATTGAAACTTTTCGTTATGCTATGATGACTGAGATGTTTGTCTTTGTGCTTGTATTTTTTTTCCAGAAAAATGGTCTGGACAAACTGCTAGCTTCTCATGGACATTTTAACCTTCTCGCTCCAGTAAATGCTGCTTTAGGCAGTTTACAACCACGGTCTCGCAAGGTACAGATAGCATAACTGGCACACTTTCTAAAATAATTGTACTAGTTGTAATACATCGCCTAACGTATTCGATTCAAGTGCACAAACATAAATGTTCAATATTTTACCACCAGAACTGGACTGGACAGCACAGGGAAAAAAACCTCCTTGGCCGTTAGTTTTTGGAAAATTCTTACCGGCATAGCCACAAGAGGAAGTGTCCAAAACAAATGTTTTACTTCGGTACAATACATATTGATTTAGTTCCATGAAAAAGTGCTAAAAACAATTGAATTCAGAAATTCGAGCTTCTCCGCAAGAGTCAAATTGGTATTAGGATAAGCTAAATACACATTTAAACAGGTTCGAATTATCCAGCAATTTTTACATCTTTTATTTATTTGCAGCGTCGTAGTGTTCCGTCATCAGCTGAGGAAGAGTTGAATTTACTGAAATATCTTATAATTGGCTGTTCAACGATTCCTACCGACACCAGTGATGATTATGCAGCTAACTTTACTACTTTGCTTGGAGTAACTATTTCAGTAAAAACAGAGGTAATTGTCTCTTGGGTTCTTATCAAAATGTTGAGTCAGTCAAGAGCTTAAAGTCCACCCTTCAGGAACTGAAATCTGTTTCAAAGTTTGGACAGGCTCCTGTTGTTTGCAAATAACCGCGCCCGAAATAATTCACCATTTGCTTTTTACTATTTTTTAACTTAACTGCATTTATTCCAGGGGAACGTTACATCGATCATCGATCAATATGGCAACATATCCAGAGTAGTTGGAGTGTACGAGTCATCAAATGGCGTGATAATGAAACTGGATAATTTACCAACCCCACCCAAGTCTATGGATAGCACAGTACAGGTATGCGGTTTAACATTTGGAGATAAAATTTTGTGAAGGCAGGATGACCTAGAGAGGAAGGAACCCGACATGCAATACGGAGGATTGGATCTCTTTTCTCCACACCCCCTCTCCCTGCAAATTAATATCCCGTTTCGCTAAAGACCTTGGTCTTCTTTTTTGCCCTTAGGAATCTTATCTTGACGTGGCTAATAGACTTGGATACAAGGAGTTTGTTAAACTGGTCAAGGTTTGTGAGCACTAATCGACTCTTGCTTGGAGCTTTTCAGTTCTTTTTTTGTTAAACGATGTGGGGATTTTTTTTTTTAAACCTATCGTTTCAATCTCTTTCATTACCTTCTTTAGGTCAAAGCTTAGCATGTTTATTAACAGCTGTTTCGAGAAAGGTTTTCGGGAAAGAAAGCGTCAAAGGGCACGCCACAACCTCGGAAGGCATTGTGGGTAGCTTTTAGGTCATGGTTTCAGGGAAATCGAAAAATATTACTCTAGGGAGGATCAAACATGGCGGGTTTGAATATTTTATTTCTTTATTTCAGTTATTAAAATTCATTTATTACCAGTACCAGACACCCAGGTAACCTTCGAGTTTGTCGCGTGCATTTTTGTCCTTTTATTCGACAACCTTCTTCGAAACAGTTGTTTACGAAAAAAATGTATGTTATTACTTCACAGTTAGCAGGATTGCAGAACATCCTAGATATTCCGGTGAACAGAGCTGTTCTTATGTTTTGGCCAACTGATGATGCTATAAAAGCTGTGCCTGACGACTTAAGGGCACGACTCACTGATCCTTCACATCTGGCTCGATTTGTAAAATACCACGTTGTCACCCAAATTCACGTAAGTTAATCAGTAAACTTAAACAAAGATTACAAAATCTAACGCCTTGACGAATGGTAAATGTTCAAAACGCCAGCTTTAGAAACTCTTTCCGATAGACAATTTACGTTATCATCTCAGTTGATAGAACCAAATTATCTTATATTGTCGAAGCAGCACCACAGTCTCTTCAGAATCTCTCCCACGTTATTCGTTCGTTAAAATGTCAATGTCTTGTAACGATGTTTCGAAAAAATAGCAATATTTGGAGCCAGAGAAAAGATGCTTCAATTCGGCTTTAAATCGTGTCTGCCTTTCATCAAATGAGCCACAAAGCAAATTGAGTGGCAAATTAAAATTTTTTTTTTTTTAATTAGAATGTACTTATACAGAAACTTGATCACAAATAAATAAAATGAATCGTATTTTTCCTGTAGGTGAAACAACTCGAACCCAACCAATTTACTCAAAATCAAAGCTAACTTTAGCAGATGACTGCCATATGTACTTGAATGTATACGAAAAGTCAATTAATGGTCGCTTGAATCAATTCTTTCTTCGCAGTCTGATTTTAGTACTCAGTCCTTCTTGAGAAGTGGTGCAGGGTTAGAATTGCGAACATTTGGAGGAACTAGTTTATTTGTATCTTGCAAAGGAGGAAAGGTAAGTTATAGTGCGTGGTGAATCCGCAGAAAACTGAAAAGTTTTACTACACCTTTTTGTAGAATAGAAATTAAGTGCTCTTTCTATTGGCTGACCCTGAAAAAGCGTATTGTTCTTAAGTCGCCTTCTGCCTGCGATCTAATATATGTTCCTGTGTTCCAAACTTCCGCGCTACGATCACGTCACGATCTTAACTCTTTTCTGGGGCCCGGCACGAGGACGAAAAGCATTTGTTGAGGACGATCGAAAGAAGTGAACGAAATCACCAAAGTTTGGAGACTCGGGCCACCTTCCTATTCTAATAGAATTCTATAAGGTTTGATTCAGCTGTGATGCTGTGAGCAGAAATGAGATGGTAGTCACTCTTAGTGGTCAATGGGATCATAATGCTTGATCATTATCAGTATCTGGGCAACTGCCCACCTACCCCTCCCCTAATCCAACATTAACCCTAACTTGTTATCAATTGACTGTTGTTGGGTTAGGGGAGGGGTAGGTGGGCAGTTGCCCAGATACTGATATTGATCTCATAATGCTTGATCAATATGCTCTCTGCTAAGTTTGTCTCTCAATGCGGTCGAACATTAGGGCACAGCGCACTAAAGGTGGCGGTTGCCTGTTTTAGTGTACCAGATGGAAGCGAAATTTATCTCTGAATAAAATAATTTGGGGTTAGAAACGAGTCATCTCCATTCCTTCGTTATTTTTAGTACTGTCATACATCATGGGATAGTTAAAATGAGTCTTTTGCTTGTTTTTATTGTAGGGCGATCTTTACGTAAATGGTGAAAGCAAGATTGTTGCAAGAGACATACACTTCGGTGGTGGTGTGGCTTTCGGAGTGGATTCAGCTCTTTTTCCTTTTGGATTTGGAGGCAACTGTGATGAGATCATGGACACTAAAATTACGGTATTAAGCTCTTTTTGATCAGGTACTTAAAACCAAAATCAAAGTAATCGCAACGGCCAATGAGAAGAAAGGAAAATATGACGAGGAGCCAATGAGAACTCAAATAGATAAAAAACAGGCAAAGTGCCAGAAGCGCGGGAAAAAAGGCTGTAACCGAGGCGTGATTGGTTTTAGGTTTGCAGTAGATTGAAGGAATCAACATTGTAAAGGGGAGAGGGAATGGGACTGCCTGGTGAGAAATACATGTTATTTGGCCCTTCTTTTCACAGAAGTGTCCAAAAGCTCTTCTCCAAGATTGTAATGTTTCTGTGTGCCCCTCCCTGACTCCAGTTTTCATCCATCCTCTTTTGCAAGAAAATTCAAGTGGTTAGTTTCACCTCAAAGCGGCAACTGTGTATTTTAATTTAAGCTGTCTGGTTGACAGGTGTCTCAGTTTTCCCCTGTTTCAGGCTTTGCTTAATTTCTGTAAAATTCCTCACCTTTATAGGGTCAGTGTGGAAATTGTTTTGTCCCTGTGAGCTGTCCACAAGAGACTACCCTTGTTGTGAGTAGTGTGTAACTAATGTTAGTGACAATGCTTTCCAATTTCACCCTGCCGTGTGGTTTTAGTCAAACTTCCTTTTTGATTTTGCCGGAACTGGAAAAATAGTAGTGCTCTTCATTTAATAAGAGCTGTCATTATTTATTTTTCTATTTTTGCAATCGGCCTAGATCAGGAGGGGAAAAAAAAGGGTCATCATAATATTGGGAACTAAAGGATTACTCACCCCCCGAAAAAGGTGCCGGCAAAATTGAAGGGACAAAAAAAAACCACTCGTTAAATATCAAGCGCTAAGGATGTGAAATGAAAAAAAATAATGATCTTACTTTAAGTTGAGATTCAACCATTCATCTTCAACACCGGCGATGACTTCCTGGGGACAAGAATTGAACTGATATCTTGACAATTTGAGGGAACTTAAAATGCGCCTCTATCTTTCTCTTTCAGGGCGTAACGAATCATAACTGCACCTACAATGGTGATTTGGTAGGATGTCAGCCCATCTGTTTACAGCGTCAACGGCTGAAGAGATGCTGTAAGAACTTTTATGGACCAGATTGCGTGGGTAAGGCATCCTCTCTTGTGAGTGTGCTCTTTTGCTGTAATTAACTGGGTAACTGTGTGGATGTCTCTAAAATTATGTAACTGCGGTTCTATATTATCATAATCAAAGTTGTCTTTCTCAGATTGTTTGTTACGATCTCTTAAAATGGTAGTGAGCGGAGTTTGTCAGGCTTCGGATCGCTTTTTTTTTTTTTTGCATTGTTATTCTACATGGCGAGATTATAGACTAAAAGACTTTCACCTGCTAAGAAAGAAGTTTTAGGCGGTCAGGCTGCTGTTAAGAGAAATAACTCTCTCGCTTGTCACGTATGAATCATCGTATCATATGACTTTGCAAAACAGAAATAGTTCCATATGCGCTTGCTACAAGATCAACCTCAACTGTACTAAGTCCACCAATTCCATCAACTTCACAAACTACAGATTTCGAGGAGTTTCTGGTAACTTAGTCAGCGGAGCATCGGATCGCACAAAGTATAGGTCTCCGCCTCGAGTCCTTGAAAGGACTCAGATTTTTCCTTGTTTCACATCATTGTTTTAGTCAGCCCTGCAACTCTATCGTGTTTTAACACAGTTCTTGTACTCCTGACACAGCTTGCCCAGGTGGTGTTCAATTGCCATGTAGCAGGCGTGGCTTGTGTATTGACGGGCTGACAGGGAGTGGCCAGTGTGTGTGTGATGCGTCTTATAACGGCACAGCTTGTGAACAATGTGTGAATAGCAATGAGTCCTGTCCAGGTACGTAATGATTCACTTCCTTTTCTACTCTACCTTTGACTCAGGAACGACCAAAAAATTAATAATCCTTGCAATTTCAATACATTTTCAAGCGAAAATGGGATGAGAAGAAAAAGGAACGTCAAATATGGGATAACGCTAGATTTAGCACCAAATTCTTAGAAGAATATGTGTAAAACAAGAAATTCCGAGCTATCTCTCTTTACTTTTGATGTATGTAAGTAACTAAGAAGAATTTGTAATTTTATTCTGTTTTTTTTTTCTCTTTTTTTTAGCACCTTCAGTGGACTGCGAGGTAGACAATGGTGGCTGTCACGTGTTTGCCACCTGCACTAAAACTGCCCCGAATCGTTTGACGTGCTCGTGTAAATCCGGTTACCAAGGAGATGGATATTACTGCCAAATGATTGACTCGTGTGCAAGTGACAACGGCGGGTGTGGTGAGAACGCAACCTGCTTGTTTACAGCACCAGTAAGTACCCATAAACCACACCTTTGAAGACACAGTAGTTGCTGTCTGATATTTTGGCTTAAATTGTTTGCTCCCGCACCGTCTCACACGGCAGCCTTAACCCTTTTAACTCCCATAAGTGACCGAGACAGAATTTCTCCTTACAATATCAATACAATATCAAGCAGACAAGTGATGAGAATAAAGAAAAATATCAACAAGGGGATTATAAGTTGATCCAATATCAAATTCCCCAAACTAACATCACGAGAATTGTATGGCAGACAGTAAAGAGAATTACTAATGACATCTTGGGAGTTAAAGGGTTAAGCTGGAAAATGCTGCCCATGGACTGTTAAAAATGCCTTGTATCGTCAAGATTCGTTTGAGCAATTGGTAAGCAAGCACCATTTTTTTCTAATACGTACAAGTGTAGTGAAGGATAGAGAAGTTTCACATGGACTACAAATCACAAAATTAACACATGTAAGAAAAATTTTCGAAGTCGCACAATCTTAGAAGTGGTTTCCTTCAATTTTTACGAAATATAATTTTAACCTCTTTTTGGGTTTTATACCAAGCCCTGTAGTGTCTCTGTGTCGTTTTTCTTCGGTTTGTGGCCGGTTCTGCTGTTTTTGCCCTCGTCTTGGGAAAAAAAGGAAACTCACTCTCCAGTAACTGACCAATCAAGTCGTATCAAACGCTACTGTGATTTTCTGGAAATTAAAGTTAACATTTCTTTTTCAGGAACGAAGGCGCTGTGTATGTAAAGCAGGCTTTTACGAAGTAGGCTCCAGTTGTCGTGCTCACCGGCCAATGTCGCCCTGTGCCATAAACCATGGCGGCTGCTCTGTTCATGCTGACTGTACTGATAACGGTAAAGTACAACAATGTGCACTCTATATCCCCCCCTAGCCAAAACTGTGCGCACTTGGCTCAGCCAGACAGTTGCGTCTTCTTGTGAGGAACCACGGGTTGGTTGTCATTTGAAAACCGATGTCAACCAGGGCTGTCAATGAGTTGAAAAAGAGAAAGCAAAGAAGAAATAGGGGGTAGCCAGATTATCGTGGACGCCATGTTTTTGTTTTGGTCAGCTCACGTGCAAGGCTGTGAATTATTCAGTTAAAATGTCCTAGGCGTCCCACGTACTTGCTCAAACTCTCACGCAAATTCTGAATGTGGAATCGATTGATTCACTTTTCTCAGTTCGACAGTTCCTTAGCTAAATTCAGTTCTCATTTCATTATAATTTTGTCAAATTGAAAGACGAGCTGATTTCTTTTTTAAATCAGTTGAAATAATGTTTTATTTCATGTTGAATTGCAGGCCAGGAGGCCAGCTGTGCCTGCCGTCCGGGTTTCACTGGAGACGGCTTTTCTTGTGGAGGAACCATTCTACAGGTAAGTAGATTTTTTTGTCTTTTTAACCCTTTCCACCCCTCCCCCCTCCTCCTTCAGCCCTTGTCTTTTGTGCCTTGCCTGATGGTCTCTATAATAAATTCCAATATCCGTGGATCTGTGCGCCTTGAACGTTGCCCATTTTGGACAGGATTTTGTTACCATGATGTCGACTTCTTATGGCAAGTTTTGTACCCTTACAGCCAAGTTAAGATTTTCCTTAAGTTGAGTTTTTGTCTTTTCTTTTCAGGTTGTCAAAGAAACTCAGAGTGCCACTGAATTCTACAAGGTATCACGTTTTTCCAAGGGCAATATAATCTTTCGTATCATTCTTTACTCTGAATGGCCTGTTATAAGGAGGAGTTAGTTAACGTTGAAATCTTACGACCATACATGGGTTCACCATTTTGTTATTTAGGCTTTCCTCTGGTCTATTATCCACCCCCTCGGAAGAAATTTCTTTCTTTTCGAAACCAAAAATCCAGGATGGCCAAACTGAGTGCTCGCTCGTCAAAGATACGTCCCCAATCTAGCCAGAAATGGAGTGGTTGTGTGTGGTTTTAATGAGATATTGTATTAGTTATGAACTTTCATTTGTTCAGAACAGATGAGGTAGTTAGCTCTATGATGTATAAATGGTTTGATTTTTGTTTTGCTGGAAATTCCAGGCGTTCTACCAACTGATCACTTCCAGCGCACAAGCGACGACTTTATACCAAGGCCTGGCATCGTTATCAAAATCCTTCACAGTGTTTGTGCCTGTCAGTAGTGCGGTTCACTACAAGGTGACAGTCATCTCAATGTTTCTTTAGATAGTTTTCCTTAAATTCATCATAGTTACTGTATCTCATAATTACTCTGAGAAGTTTCAGGAGAAAATGGAAGAAAATTTTCTCCAATTTTTTTCTTATTGTCACAGAAATTCACGCTGTATTTTATGAAGAATCACATTGTGTCAGGAAGGCATCCATTGAACAACATAAATGACGACTTAACGATGACAACGTTGGCTGGGACTACACTGCACATCAAAAAGCTGAGAAATGTAAGATTTACAAACTAGACGAGTGTCCCTAACTTCTGACAGATTAACTTGTTTGGCGAGTATTACCGCGGTTATAGTAGCCTGCTGTATAAGCCAATGATAATTATGAAAGGTAGTGTGGTAAGGTTTAACCAAGTCGACCGTAGCTCTTCCTTTTATTGCTCCATACTTCATGGGGCTTTCGCATGCGCATTATTTCCACGCGCAACTGTCCCGCCGAAATGCCGGGCTTTTCTTAGTTGCCAAAGATCATAAGAGAGTTTTGCGTTTTGTGATCCAAAGTGTAATTTTCTCTGTAATGTAAAAATAGAGCATTTCCCGGTGCTAACAAAGAAGTTATCCTCGGAAATGAGGATAAAAAAAAATGCTCTCATAATTCAAGTTACGAAACATTAGGGCATACTTTCTAATTTAGAGTTGCGTCTAACTTCATAATTTTACTAACACTTTCTAATGAGGGCGATATAAATTGTGTTTTTTCTGGAGAATACTTCCCCTTTTAGTCCAGGCTGAGTGACACTCTGGACCACGACTTGGGACCACAACTGCATTCACGAGTCGTTGCTAATAATTCAGATGCTCTCATTGATTGATGCCTATTAGAGGGTTTTGTGTCATAATAGCCCTTGTTTTTTTATTGATACTTAGGGAGAAATAGTCGTGAATGGTGTCGCTCATATCAAGGGAGACATCCCTGCAACCAATGGTCTCCTACATTTCATCGATCAGATGATACCAGTAAGTAAATAAATGACTTATTGACTCTGATATTAACAAATATCACCAACATATGTAAGTGAGGGAAAGTGCAAAAATGAATTCATTTACGATTGTTGCATGATTTTTAAATTGTATTAAATTGTATTCAATACAATTTCGATCGAAAAATGGCAAAAAGTTGAGGACTCTAGAATTTAATTACTGTCTAGAAATAGGCTTTTGAGGATAACAATTTGATAGTTAATATATAATGACAGTTATCAGGGCCACGCCTTTAGCAAATCTCCCGCATTTGATATTTAAACATAATTTTTTCATAGTATGTTGGACCTCCTCCACCTACTACCCCAGTGGAACCAACAAAACGAACAGAAACCCCAGGAAAACCAACCACGGTATGTTTCAGTCACGTTTTTTACTCATGTCGAAGGTAAAAGATCCACTTTCTAGAGTCGAACTCGCATCTAACTGAATTAACGTGCCTCGTGTTTTTAACGTTTTGATGGTATTTACAGAAAATAACAACGAAAGAAACTACAGCTTCAGCAGTTGGACCAAAGGTAATGATGTTTTTGATAAGGGGGGAGAGGGTTGGGGCGATTAAAGTTGGTCACTTACAGGCTCAAGCACACCTCGCGATATGGAAGGGATATCTGATCTCTACCATCAATTCTTTCCTTTAAGAAATTCCATAATTTTTCACTTTAAAATTGTTTCAATTTTTCTACACCCCCCATTTTGTTTCAACGTTTATTCTGTCGAGGATCATGGGTCAATGGAGATATTTTTTACTCAAGTGAAATTTGTAGAGGCCTAAACTTCAGACATGCATCATGAAGAAATAATTTTATTTTACACGCTCATAGTGTCAGCTTTCCTTTCACAAATACGCTTTCGTTACTTTTTCCATACATTTCCCATTTCAATGTGTCGGACCACATTTTGTCCTTATTCTTCGTCAAATAGCTCCTTTTATTCATTTGATCTCCACAAATGCCATTCTTGAAAGTACACAAGGTAACCGAGTGTTATGTAGAATTCATCAGTTTTCAAGACTGAATGCTGACAATTTTTACCTGTGTTTGCCGTTACTTTTTTCAGTCGGGAGGTGAAAGTGCTGCAAGAAAGGAGGTACTGCTTTTTTTTTTGTTAATGTTGTTTTTGTTTGTTTGTTTGTTTGTTTTGTTTGTGTTTTTTAAATTTCATGAAGTTTCTAGTCTAGGCTTGTGAAATCTTATGTTTTTTTTCTTTCTTTCTTTGTTCTTTTTTGTTTTGGAAGAGAGATGGTATTGGTAGAGGAGCTATTGCTGGTATTATCATTGGCATCATAATATTTGTGATGTTCATCGCTGTTTTAGTTTACTTTGCAAGAAAGAATGGCTTCCTTTCCCGCCGAGCATTTTACAAAAAGGTAATTGAACTTTGGTAGGGAGAAATTAACGAAACTTAGAGCCAAAAATCAAATTCTTCTTGGTTTCTTCTTTAGTTTTGATAGTAATCTGGGATCGTAATTTCTTTTTCCTTCGCTCTGCACTGAAATTGGAAGAAAACACTTGCGTCTCTTTTCCCATGAGAGATCAAGACAGAATTTCTCCTTACAATATCAACTCAGTAGCAAGGAGACAAGTGATGAGAATAAAGAAAAACATCAATCAGGGAATCATTAGTTGATCCGATACCAAATTCTCCAAACTAACATAATAAGAATTGTGCAGCTGACAGTAAGGAGAATTACTAATAAGATCTTGTTAGTGAAAGGGTTAACCAATCAAATTCAAAATTAAAACCATGGGGGACTAAATTATCTGACCTTTTCATCCTTCAGGCTTCTTTCATCTTTGTGATGTTCGTTCTTTGTTATGACAAATACTTTACCGTGCAAAACTAGAATTGCTGTTAATGTGAAGACTCTTAGAAGTATATTAGAAAAATTAAACCTTACACCGTTTATTTATCGCTAAACACCATAATAGGAATTTGTTACTGTGCCCTGCACATGATTGTTTAAAGTCTTTTGTACTTATGTAATTTTCATTATTTTCAGTATTTTGTAATTGCACGTGCGCACTGTAAACGAGTATGCTGAATGCTCTTAGGCGTTATGTAGATAAATAAACTATCTATCTATTTATCTATTTATCTAAGTCCAAAGCGCCTTTTTAGTCCACGTATCTCGTCTTCGTGAAATAGTTTCTTTTGTTTTCTGTTTCTTAGCAAGCGGACACCGTTCAGTTTAGTAACGAAGCTTACAACGAACATTCTATGATGTCATTTGATAATGCTATGTTTCATAACATGGAGGATCCCTTGCAAATGCCTCCACTGGATATACCTATTGACGATAAACGGCCTCTACCACAGGTATGATTAGGGGGGAATGTCACTGTTATGAGCTGAAGACAGATTTGATGCCAAGCTGTAGTTCATCGCATATTTGACGGAATGAAGTCTCAGGGTTTGCTGTCAGTTTGATATTTATTGCGTCATTCTTAGTAGTAATACCCGGCAGTATAGCGGAAAACCGAAAAAAGAGCGTGGTCACGTGACTACACCCTTCCACATGGATTGCTAGTTTGATTTCTGTTATGAGTATCTTTTGTAAATAATATCTTTCGCTTGTAAAGACTCGTTTGATTCACGTAAATAACATTTGTTTGCAGGATTCAGGAGGAGAACACATGGATTTTGACAATCCACTCTATCGTGAAATGTCTGGCTTAGACCTGCCACTAAATCCAAATGACATAATTTTCTTGCCAGACTCTAATACGGTACGTTTCCTGATTAAACTAGAAAAAATTCAGGGGATACTATAACAACTACCAAATGTTGCTGCAGTAGTTTGTGTTTCTTGGCCAGGGTTATTAGCGGCTATCTGTTGTACCCTGTGCACCAGATCTCCGTTTCCTTGTATGAAGCTCCCCTTTGTACAACCAGTCAAGTAAAAAAAGTTATACTTTCCTTTCCTTATCGATGTTCTGCTGTTTGAAAAACAAATTACATAAGATTTTTGGAAAAATTTCAGTGATCTCCAACCTGAAAAAATTGGCTCCCAAAAAATACAAAAATCACCGATCCACAAGAAATGAAAATTCCCGCGAGGGTTTAAATGGTGAACGCCATAAATTTGGAGGTAGATTTTACTTAGTATTTTTATTTCTTTATCTGTTTTTCTTTTCTTCCTCGTTATTTTTGCAGGCTTCATCAGATACGGGTGTCAAAAATTTTTCCAACCCACTCTACGATGGGAAAAGGACTGTAAAGGTAAACGTATGAAATAACCGCTAACTTTGAGACCCAAGAACTTTTATAACTTACGGCGCCAACCACTGGTCAGGAATGGCCCGTCAGACTGGTTCATTTCATATCAAGTTTTGTAATGGTATCAAGCATAAATTTTCCTCAATATTTGGTGGAAAATCTCAAGAAAAAAGAAAAGTCATCTTCAAATTTGCCGGTTTGTTCGTTTCAGTCCCAGCTTCTGATTCGTCTCCTTCACACCCGTATTAGGATGTCACGCAACGAGCCTTCTCGTTTGTTGTGTGACAACCTTGAAACTGCTGCCAAGGTGATATCATGCAGCACACTTGATTACACACGGGCAGAAGATATCCCATAGTTTTCGCAGAAAAACAACTAAATAATGTGTTTTTGATGCTATTTGTATTGCCATCCGGTTGCCGTGTTTACCATCCCACAAGGGGTGAGTGGGGGGGGGGGGGGGGAGTTCACTCCTTTTCTTTCGCTATTTGTGACAAAGGTCCTAAAAGGTCAAAATACTCTGTTTGTTTTGTCAGGGACACTTCCTTACCCACCCTTACCCGGGTACGCTCCCAACCCATCCACCCCTCTCTTACCTCAAGATCTGGATCCACAACTAAATCAACTTTTTTGTTGTTATTTCAGTTTAACCTAGACCCCAAGTATCTTCCAGGTGAAGAAGACACCTGTAAGTAACTATTAAGAGTCAGATACGGGTACACTCTGTTATCTTCAACATGTGGTAGTATCATGGAGGGTTTTTATTAGGAGAGATTCGTCATATCTTAACCCTTTACACCCTAACATCAGTTTGTATATTCTCCAAACTGTTCTTTATACATTTCCTAAGGTGCTGACATTTGATTGGCAATCAAGAGCTTCTTTAGTTGGTGATCATTTCCTTTATTCTCATGACCTTAATGTGTGATTCAGGGATGATGCTGTAGAGAGAAATTAGAGTCCAGTCTCTCTTAGAGGTTAAAGGGTTAAACTCAAAGGATACAAACTCACACTTGAATAAGAGAGAGGAAAAAAAAAGAAATGTTATCGTACTGTTAGGCAGCTCTTGTTCGAGCACAGGATTACATAAGCAAATTAAAACGGTTTAGTAGAAAAATAAAGAGGAGTCATTAACTTACAACAATCATTTGTGGGAATAGAACTTCTGAAAAATGTTATTTGTGATTTGGTTCTTAGCGCAAAAATGGCGCTATTAAAAAAACTGTGATTCAATTTTTCGATGCCTAACTTGTTGCTTCGTTGTATTTTAGGCTAAGTGAGCTGTTTGGTTACACGAAGATAACAGTGGTGAGTTCTTGTTTTTTCAAAAAGTTTTAAAAAAGCAAATGTTAGTAGGTCACTGAATTTACCAATCACAGAGCGCGTATCAAAAAATTGATATAATTCCTTATTCTTATTATTTCACTTTCCAGGTTTTTCCGCTTTCGCTGGTTACATTTCAAGGGACATCAGGAAGGATAGATATATTTTTTAAGCCATAAATATCGCTACGTTAGTTTAGTGTTTGTATGTTGTTTTGTTTGTTCCTTTTTTTACTAACACTTAAACGTCGTGTAGATCTTTTTATTTTTCTTGAGTGTGTGTGTCTTTTCTCCCCGTCAGTAATGCAAACCCTGGACTACTTTTCTGCACACTGCCTCAAATGGCGGCAACCCCCACATGTTTTGATAAGGGTGTGTAAACACGGAAAAAGTCCTCTTTTGCATAAATGTGCTATTTCCTCAATCACTCAATTAGCTCTATATTTCTTTCTTGCTTATTAACTACTTTATTTTTTCGGGCTGAAATAACGCGTGGCTTGTTAACACTCTGCAAGGATTATCAAATTTTAAAGATGCTAGTCTCGGTTCTTTACAAATTTTAATTTTTTTTTTTAATGTTGACGAAAGAGCCTAAGTGACGACTTTTATCTTTTTGCGAGGATACTGTCGCACTAAATTAAAAAAAAAACGAAACAAAACAAAACAAAAGCAATTAATGCAGAAACCGAGCCTTACAAGGATAAATACAACCTGGGGAAGTATACTAGATCCAATGTTACAAAATTGTGGGGTCGCGACGCTCTAGGAAGCCAATAATAGCTACCTATCAAAATTAAGGAGGCTGGTTGCCTAGGGAATAGGAAGGGAATCTTAGGGGCTTTCTAGAGGGGTTCAAAATTGGTGTGTATTGCATATACAGCACGAAAGAATTAAGCTGATAGACCGAATCTCCGTATACTTTCAATCTTGTATCAAAAGTCATCCGGGATTTTGATTTATTTGCTTTCTGACCTCTGCGTCAGCCTGTTTGGCGATCCAGGATTGGTTATTGGGAGATTCCCCTGGGTAAAAAAAAAAACTCCGAGGGATTCCCTTCGGAGTGACCCTTATTGTGACCCTAATTCTCTTAGCTTGATTCCATTGTGCAGTCCAACGTTCGTTTTTGAAATATTTTGTAAAGCAATGTCAGGTATGTCTGTGCCTTGACTTGGGAAATTTTTGTACACTGAGTTAAATTTGTCACTTGGGGGTCATGATTTTTAAAGTACTCGCTGTTAAAATTTTTTAAACATTTTACTTGACCTCAACTAGTGGTATTAATAGTATTTTAATGGTAATGGTATTGATTATAAAAATTAATATTTTTTTAACGAATTTTTACTCCGAAGTTGATTGAATTTAGTATGTTTCTATTGAAAAAAAAATGCGTTGATTACTGATTTCATCGAGGTTAAAATGTATGACTTCTACAGAAACATGTTTAGAACGAGTAGAAAAAGGGCAAAAAAGAGTTTGTTAAGTTCACAGAGCCGATACGACTCAACAGAGGTTTGACCCTAGAGGGTTGGTAATTTGTGGCAAAGATGTAGTAATTCTGTTTACTGTTTGGTTTACAATTCTTATGATGTTAGTTTAGATAATTTGGATTTGGATCAACTAATAATCCCTTGATTGATATTTTTCTTTATTCTCATCACTTGTCTCCTTGATGTAGAAATTCTGTCTTGATTACTCCTGGAAGTTAAGGACTATAGGGCCAAAACTAGAATGTCAGTTGCGTTAGAGAGAAATGTGTCAGAATCGCTTTGAGTCTGTCTTTATAGAGGTATAGTTTAGCAATAAAATTCATATTATTCATAGCTTTATGAAAGCTACAAGCATTTAAGCTTCAAATCTGTAAAATAAGTGGGTAGATAATGAGTATAGCTTACTCTTAGTTAAAAAATATTAAGTCAAATCCAAGGTAGATTTTAAATTTATGTTTTTATTTAATTGCTTCGTAAACTCAATCGTAGAAACAAGAAATAAAATTACGTTAGCATTGTTGCTCTTCAGTATTTAAATAAATGACATGTTTGTCAGCATTTTGTTTTGCGAAGAAGAAAAGCACAAACGCACCCACAAGAACGCAGCACGTGATAGCAGGAAAGCGCGGAAGGATATGGCGGTCTAAGACAAATCACTTTTTTTTGTCTCAAAACAACACTGAAAGGAAAAGCAGATAAACTTCTAGCACCACTGCTTTTTAGCATAACTCATAGCGTGACTCAAAAGAAATCCGCAGAAAAAAAAACCCAAAAAAAAAACAGGAAAAAACTGACACGCACAAAACAAGTCAGCAAGGAAAAGATACCCCAACAACAAGGCATGAACTCTAGGAAGCAACCTCCTTTTGTTCCACCCCGCCGCTCCCCAGAATCCACATGATGCCAGGATGTTATTTTTTTGGTTGTTTCCATTGATTCGAGCGACAGATTACCCTGACAAAGATGGAGCACACGTAGTCTCAACACAAGACAGATTGCTAGCAGGCCATCATTACGCGCGCTGCAAGACACACACTTCTACGCCCCCGGATAGATTCGAGACGAGTCGGGGAGGGGATTAGCGAGGATCTGGCACTAATAATCAGTGCCAGATCCCTTGCAGACCTCTCGCGGCTCGAGGCCTTATAACTTACCGTAGTCGGGCGAAGAATTTTTTTTCTTTTTTTTTTTTTTAATTTAATGAGTTGAAAACAGCCTAGGGTTATGTTCTCCACGTGCACCTCTCTTGAGAGGACGGCGTTCTTTGTTTAAATTCTATCTTTGTCGCTTCGAGGAAACACAATTTATGAAGGCCGAAGGAGAAAGACTTAAGTGAGTCTTCTTAGTCTCTACTCGGTGGTAGGGGCGAGAATTTGTTACAGTTTTTCATTTAGCGCACTTGAAAAAGTCGTTCTTTAAGGCTGAGTTTGTACAATTCTCAGAAAATTACAGTTTCACTGGGCTCGAACTTCAAAAATAATATTTTTCTCGCAATCTTTTCCAGAATATTTGAAATTCCAGTGTTATTTCATTTCCGCTTGTAGTGGGAGAAATTTGCGCGGGTAGCTAGACTCGAGGGAAGTCACGCTTTCACAAGCCATATTAGGTAAGCTATTGTCGTGAGGTTCCGCCGGTCGTCCTGTTCTGTGATTGGTTATTCACTGTAAGCCGTGCCTGTATACAAACGAGAGCAGAAGATAACATTGAGAGAAAAATTCAAGTTAGAAATATATAGATTTCTCTATACTGGAGCTTCTTTTTCATGCAGTATGGAGGAGAAGGTGGAGAAGAAAAGTCCAGTCAAGTAAGGAAGCTTTTGGCGTTGTTTTAGAGTCGAAGTTTGATACGATTATAGCGCGTGCTCCAAATCGAATTTGTGTCTCTTGAATCCTGTTGTTTTTGTTGGAAAACGAGCACTGCGAGACTATTGCGTGATTGTTAATCATATAAAGGTATCAAGAGTGAAAGAAAATGAAATGCTGGAGTCTAAGATGTTAGTAGATGTAAATATCTGCCCCTTCTATGCAGAAAAGCGACGATAAGTTTCAGAAAATAAAGGCAATCGACCAATCGAATCACTCGTGTGCAAGCTTAGAGCAGTTGAAATTTCTCGAGTGTTTGGACTGTTTTGTCTCACCACAGGATTCGTAAAGTGTTAAGGCCGAGCACAGATGAGAATTACTGGGACTGTAGTGTGTGTACGTACAGAAATGGAGCCGAAGCCTTTAAATGTGCGATGTGCGATGTTAGAAAGGGAACTTCAACAAGGTAACGCGTGGCACTAGAGTATTTGTTTGTTCTCTATAATTACTGTCTGCAGGACAGAAAATTACGGTCGCAATGTGTTTCCCATGCTTCACGCATCTGGAGTATGTTTTTGTTTTGTTTTGAATAGAAATGACAAAATAACATCAGGTAGAATCATTTCGAAGGGTGAAAGTAAAAAAAATTGCAATTCGATATGGTTTTTGTGACAGATGATACAAAATCAATCGCCATGTGCATGAAGATCGAATACGATCTACCATAAGTCAACTTATAAAAGATTCGAAACAGATGCTTGTGGTCGAGTCTTAGCATTTTTGCGGTCAAACTTTCGCCTTTTGTAAATATTGCGCTTTCAATAATAAAAGCGTGACCCATTCCATGATTACAAGGGACCTTTTGTTAATTTATGATGGCCTTTAAAGGTTACTTTTGTAGTGTACCAATTCTCCCCACCCGACCCTCCTCGGAATGTACATGTTATAACACTGTTTGGAATACCCAGACTGTTTTGTCTTAATGATGCTCAGAAACCTTAACTGTATGGATTTGTATTCAGTTTTGTTTGTTATTTTTAGGATGAATTGAAGAAGGGAGAAAAGCAGGATGTTTTCCTGTTTATTTTTTCTCCCTTTTAGAAATTCAGCATGACTGAAATTTCTGCTGGGAATTAATTTCTTCAGTTTCCTGTCTAAGGGACAGAATTTAAATTAGATAGGAAGTGATTAGTTTCATATTTACTTCTCAGAGAGTTGTAAAGATGCGAGCTAAGTGCTAGATGATTCCTTGATGAACAATTGGAATGATTTTGAATACATGCAACATGTGACTCACAGAGTTTTTGATTTGACTGAAGGGAAAACATTGTTTTGCCTTTGTATTTATGTGGATCAAAGACAATTCAAATAATTATGATTAGTTAAATTAAATTTCAAAATTTTCATGTTAGGTGATAATTGGATTTTAGAAGTTTATTTTTAACTCTTTAACTCCCAGGATCTCATTAGTAATTATACTTTCTATCTGCACATATAATTCTTATGTTAGTTCAGAGAATTTGCTATCGGATCAACTAAGAATCCCCTAACTGATATTTTTCTTTATTCTCATTACTTGCCTGCTTGATATTGTATTGATATTGTAAGGAGAAATTCTGTCTTTTATTTATTTATTAGCTTTGCTAACAATACATACAATGGTAAATTAAACTAACAATAACGGGCAGGCAACCACAACAGCGATAGCCAATTACTGTGGTCCCAGGAGTATTAAAATAGCACAATGATTTCATCAATAATTAATAATTAAGAACAGCATGGAGTTGGTGTTGTTTTCAAGCTACGACATGAATTACATTTTGCACAGATAGTTTTATAAGTCCAGGGATTGTCAATGTCATAGATCTCTTGATCACTCATGGTCACTCATGGGAGTTTAGGGGTTAATCCTTCTGTTAATTGTGGGAGTTTAGGGGTTAATCATTCTGTGTCACTAATATTTATTTTTGTTGCATTACCAGGAAACCAAAACTTAATTCTCAGTTAGTAGCTCAGCAAGTTGCTCAACAGTTTGTTACATCACCTCCTCCCTTAAAAAAGGCTGTGACTAAAAGACCATTTAAAAAATTAAGGTAAGCAGCACAAACTTTAATAGAGTATATTGTTTGGACAAAATTAGAGCTTTTTATGTACTTTGGGCTTGCACAGAAATAAAATGGCTGCCCACATTGGTGAAGGTCAATTTTTTTTCTGTAGCACACACCTTGGATGAGAGTTGGAGAATCCTCCAAGCTCTGGTCTCCTGACTTAATCCCAAGTTCTCTCCCTAGTAGCAGGGAATTGTTTTGATTTTTCTAACAGTTTTCTGTTTACAACTTACTCACATAATTTTAAGAAAAGTCAAGGTAGCCAGCTTTTTAGCCACCAGTTGGCACTAAATGAGAACCATTAGCCTATGAGATTGCCTTGCTATTCCCATTTTGTACCCTTTTCCACTTGTTACAACCCCCTTATTGTAGAGAAATTCAAGATACCAGCAAAAATGTGGAAGGAAATTATTCAGCACCCACCCACCCAAATGTTCTACCACATGGGAATGTGAAATGATTCATAGTTGTCTAAAACTTGTTAATTTTGTAGGCCTCGACTCAAAAACATTGACAGAAGCAGTGCACAGCACATGGCCGTCACCGTAGGAAACATCACTGTGATTATAACAGATTATAAACTTTTAAAACCTGAAAATTCACCCTCTGTCACACCAGACAGGAATTCACCCAGACCACTGTCAGAAGATGGCACAGACCCAGGGCCATCTCTTGGTTCTGAATTTACAAGTAATGGATTAAATAATCAGGATGACAGCTCCTGACAAAAGAATGATTTTTATATTGGTACAGTAATTATTAGGAACAATTTGTATTTTTTGTGTCATTAGAGGGGATCAAGAATCTTTTTCTGTCTTTTATGATTTCTGCTAAACAAAATCCCCTTCAAAAGCTGTTGGTAAGACAGTCAGTGCTCTTTATACAGACACCTCTGTCAGAGGTGCTTTCACCTCAAGAAAGAACAGTAAAGATGGTGCTGCCATTTCAATGTTCAATTTGTCAAAACAGTTTGGAATTGAGACACAAAGTGGTCTCTCAGGTGCCTGTTTTACAGAGAATCGACGTAACGTCTCTTTCTAACAAGTCTCAAAGAACACTGCATGTGTGCATCAGTGTATTCTTGCTGGCTAAAAAAAACTTGCTTTGTGCCTAGCAGGAGAGCAAGCCTGTTTTCAAAATGTAATCACCCAAATCAGAGTAATAGTTAATTAACTCAGTTTTTATGTGCTTTTGATTAGCAATGAAAGATTTAAATTACACTTTGCTTTCTTTCTTTCATGTCGTATGTTTTGTTTGTTGTCATCAGTAAAAACTATTGAAAAGGTGGGTATGACAGCTATTTACCATATAGATAGGAAATGATTCATAAAATAACTGAGAGATCAGAAAATGGTAGAGAAAGAAACATTGATTCAAACTTTAGGTGCTGATCTAAAGAAAACAATGAAAGATTTCAAATATTCTTTTTTAAAAAATTTTCTTACATTTCTCAATTATTAGGATGTTACTAATTTGTTGGTGTAGCTCTATTTGTTTAGTTCATGGGGTAATATGAAACTTGTGTGAAGGCTTTTGCCTGTAAATAACTGGCATTACAGTACATTAAATAACATTTTTACAATTTTTTCTCAGACCTCAGTTCTCTTCCCATATTAAGTTGTCAAAGTCAATGATGGCCATACAAACTTAAAAACAATTAAACAAATGATCATAATTGTCATCAAGTCTTGGTGTGCTCATTTCTTTACCTTTAATCAATCCTTTGCATAAATAAAAAAAGAAACTGTATAAACATATTTTGGGGAGAAGTATGTACTATAAATATGGAGGGAAAGTGTGTACTAGACTACAAGTAGTCCCTTCTTTTCAGCAATGTCTGTTGAGCCAGTAAAAGAAAAACAGGGAAAAAATTAATGTTAGCGTGCCATGGGAAGTTCTTGGAGTGACCTCGATGCACTGCAGGAGCTCCATGAGTGAGGCTACTTTTCAAATGCCTCACTCATGTAGCTCACATCATGGACTTTGCTAAAGTGAAGGACTGCTTGTAGTTGAAGTGTCTTGGTGTGTACATACAGAAGGACTGTGAGAGGGGTAGTGTTCTTGGACACACTGATGAAAAAGCAAGAACAAAGTAATGCAAAGAAGACTGAAGAGAATATAGTCCACAATGCTTTTCTTAGAGCCTTTCATTGCTCTTTCACACCTAGTGCTTTATACATTGGGTCGGAATTCAGTATTTGACCTGTTGCTTTACAGGAAAAATAATATTCTACGTTAGACTAAACTTCTTACCAATAGTAGTAACCTGTGCCTCATTTATCACACTATTATTATTAAAAAATATTTCAGAATTATATATTTCTTCAGTTATTTACAAAGGCTGGGGAGTGATGCTATACAGCTCTTCACTGTGTCAGAAATAAACAGAGTTTTCAAAATTAAGTTGTTACTTTGACCCATTTTATCCTGCTCATAGACATCAATTTTAACTGCTTCTTTGAGGAATATAAAATGTATTCTGCACCACTGAATGAGCTTTACAATCAGTACATGAATTTTGAATAGCAATTTAAACTTTATAATTTAACTTTGCAAACTGATATTTTCAAATTTGGACACAGCTGAATGGGTAAGGATATTTTTGATGGAAGTATTCAAGACACACCTAGTCTTTAAATACAGTTTCTCACAATTGAATTGATATAGACTTCAAAATCTTCTACAATGAATTTCAAGATTTTCATATTTAAAACAATTTGTGGCTTAATTTGTACTTCATTCTCCTTGCACTGATGTAGTTTCAAAAAAAATAGGGGTGATGAGAATTAGGAATATAATTAATTGTAAAATAACATTTAAGTATATACATGTAACATCTCTCCTCACTTGTCGACAATATCAGTTGAGAGAGTTACCTTTCTGATCAAAGAGGTTAGGAGGTTAATGATTACAAGAATTAAAATTTTGCACTATAGGGCAAAACCTACATTAAAACAGGTTAGATTTGACCTTTTTATTCTTAAAAAATGTCTGTTGACATTCCTCATCACTATCGGTATCCTTGTCTGTTCTTTCATCTGCTGTTTTTGAACCAACTTTTATCACTGGGCTGCAATGGGAACCATAAGATAAAGCAGTTAACCTTTTACACTCTCAGATCATTTTGCATATTCTCCATACTCTGCTGTAAACATTTCCTAAGGTGCTGATGAGGAGAATTTGTTTAACAATCAAGAGCTTTTTTAGCTGGTGATCATTTCTGTTTTTCTCATGACCTTAACATCAGATTCAGGGATGAAGTTGTGAGGAGAAATTAGATGTGAGTCACTTAAAGGTCAAAGGGGTAAGCAAAGAGTGTAAATCAACAATGAAACCAACAGTACAATAATAATTATAAGATACCTTTCTGGAATAACACTGGGATCCTCTGATTCTTCATCTTTAAGGTCCTTTTGAGGCAAAACAAGCAAACCTATCATCACACATGTATCATGTTTTATCTTATTTCCGTTTTCATTCTGCAACAGGTTCAGGTTCAGTCATTAAAAAAAATTTGTTGACCCCCTTAAAGCATAAGAAATTTTTTTCAAGTACAAACTTTTTCAACCCAAATTTTTTCAGGAAAAAAAAACCAAGAAAAATGGGAGGAAAAATTTTTTGGTAGTCCAAGTATCATGCGTTAAATTGTCGCGTCAACCTTAACTAATATTCTTTGTTTCAGGGGCAATTGTTGTGGTCAGCATTACATTTTATCAGGCAATAGTCAACTATAGGAAGCTTATTCTGATTTCTTTTGATTTTCCTATTTTCAGTGACCTTGTGATTTCAAGTTGACGCATAGCAAATTAATAAAAAAAAATGTTGAGCTCTAAAACATGGAGGTTCTTTAATCAAAGTTTCCCCATAGTGTCTTCTTCTTGTATTTCTCTCTCTCCCTCTCTCTGGAACAATTTTGTCAAAACAATAATTACACAATTGCATTGATCAATCAAAATGACAACTTACCCAATCATCATCCTCTAAGCCTAGTGATGGTGTACCTGGCTCATCCTCCTCCAAGGACACCAGACTTGGAGAAGATGGCGGCTCTGGGATGACTGATGAAGTCCTGCTGTTGCCATCTTTTGATAAAGCTGGAGCAGCAGTGCTTTTCCTAAAGAAAGGTGGATATGTTTGATCACTTGATTGTGATATCTTTCTGCTTTCCATGATTTCCTGCTCATAAGTGTCACTTTTATCTTGGTCTATCTTGTCCACGTCTTCATCAGTGGGGTCAGTCTTTAATGCCTCCAAACTTTCACTTTCTGTGAAAAAAAAGTTAAAATATCAGTACTTAGCTCAGCCTAAAAACCCAAAATTTCAGCAACAGCAGCAAATTTACACTAACACTACTAAATGCAGCTCTTCCACTAACCTGGAGTCTTTTTGGCAGATTTATTTCTTTGCCCTTTCTTTCTCTTTTGCATATCAGCTATCAGCTTTTCAAACTCATTTTTATGTTGATTCACTGACAAAAAGGTAAAGATGTTCAGATAACAATGATCATGATACAATTTTTTCAGTAATTACTTGCATGGGAAAAGCGTGAGAAATTGACTCTGAAAAAACAACTAAACATTATGGTTGAAAGACAACAGGTAACAATATTAGATGTGGGAACCCTGTGCTACATCAACAGTGATGGCACAGCTTCCCAACCAAGATAAAACTCTGTCTCAATAAACCCAATACATATTGGCTGACTGATTTACACTGCAACCACTAACTTCAAACAGTCAAGTAAAACTTAATTCAAGTGAGGGCTGACAACTTACAGTATTCCTGACGAACTTGGTCCATCTCCTTCTCGCTTTGATCTTTTGTAAAATGAACACCATGCTTTGGAACCAAATGTAGAAAAGGAAGTTAGAACAACTACATTATAATTCACTGATGAAAAAATAAAAGAAAAAGGATTTCTAGAATTTATGTATAACATTTGCAATTTCACATCACTGACTCAAAAATACATGTACACTGAACATTTAGGTCCACACTTATAAAAATGCATGTAACACTGAGGAAAACTATATTAAGCTGTTCCTTCCCAGAGAACTACAAGAACTCTTAAAGAATTACATGGAAAAATTCCAATCATTCCAATTTTAAAGTATTTATAGCTTTTTTGTTCACAAACTAATCATTTTTTTGTCATTTTCCATGGCTTTCCATAACCCATACAAGAAATTCCTAGCTTTCTTAACCCATACAAACTCTGTGGAATTTTTTCATCACCTGAAAACCAGTCACTGAACAAAAGTAAATAATACATTTGCATTGAATCATTTTCAAACAATTTATTTACATACAGATGTGGGAGCTTCAGCTACAGATGCTGCCTCTCTCTCCTTTGTTAGTTCAGCTTTTTCCACTTCCCTTACAATTTGTGCAGCTGTGTGGGAAATTGTTATTACCTTATCAATATTGAGGACTTATGAGGTTACTCCTCATTGAAATCCATAATATGTCTTTGGATAATAAAGGAAAGTGTTAATTATTTGTAATAATTCTTGCACATAAACTTTTCATAGAGGACTGTCAGATGAAGAATAATTTGAATAATTTATGTACCTGTATGATGAAGGGTAATTTATTGGTTACCTGTCATGGGCTTTTCTGAATCACACTGTGAATTATAAAGCATTACAAATTCTTGATGTCTTTTGATAAGTGTCTGAAAAAGTAATAAAAAAAGTACAAAAAAATCAATCAAGTTCATAGAGGACTCTAAAAAAAATTAACTAGGTGTCCATGTAATGAGCAGTTTATGATACCATGAACAAGACAAAAACTTTCGAAATGTTATGAGATCCTGAGGACAACATTTGTTGCCAAACTTGTCTGATACAACTGGAATGCTGTGTTTTTAGGGTCATACTTCAGATATAACAACACACAAGATCAATATTAATTAAACATAACTGTCATAATTTTCTTCACATTTATTCAGTGTGAATAGAAGAAGCACATGCAATGAAAGACTCACGACACTTGAGTTGTTAACCCTTTAGCTCCAAAGATCTAATTATTAATTCTCCCCTCTTTATTTAACTGCTATGCATTTCCTTGTAAATTCAAGGTTAGGTTAAGATAACTTCTACCTGATAAGTTTGAGTATCATTACCTGTTTGCGGGATAATGTTTAGATATTATTGGGAGAAGTTACATGTTAATCACTTCTGGGAGTTAAAAGGCAAAAAGGTTAAATAATTTCTTTGATCTTGATCAATCAGTGAACTCTCTCAGTGATCAGCTGGTCAATGCTGAAATTCATATTATTGTGTTACCAACATGTAGCACCCTATTACTTACTGTTCGATTTCCCTTTGTTGATAAATTCCATTCTTTTAATCTTTTCAGTAATTCCTTGTCTGACATGACATTGTATACAAGTTTTGGAAGAGGCTTTCTTCTCTGAATCATTCGGCTAAAGAGAAATCAGAGATCAAAAAAAATAATCATAAAAATTAAAAACAAAATACTACCAACAAATTAATTGCTTTTAGTGCCAAAAAAATTGAGTGTCAACCAGTTATATGTGTGTAACAGTATTTGCCCTCAAAGAGAGAACACATTTTCCTGGATGAAGAATGAAGGGGGGGGGAGGAGGGGAGGGTTGGGATTGGGAGGGGGGTAGTGTCAGTGGGATTGCAAACCTAAGCTGACTGACAACATGTTGGCAAAGAGACAGCAAAACAGTCAACAAAGAATAAGCCTCCAGTTATTCTTTGTGGATCATTTTGCCATTTTGTTTTGTTTTATATTTGAACCATTGACTTACATCAAAGCATTAGAGCCTTTAATTGTCATGTTGGATGACACTGCTGCGAAAGAAACTTCTTGCTCTGTTGTAGATGATCCTGGTTCACTACTTGAACAAGCAGGTGAATCTTGCAGCCCTACATTAACTGGACTCTTGTGCTTGCTTGATTTACTAGTTGAGGGTTCACTTGATTTTTTCCTGCTTTTTAGAGGGAAATGGTATCACCAATGTAGATTAGTTATTAAAATACTTACAAGTCTATTGATTTCACAGACACTATTCATGGTTATAAGTTAAGTTTCAGTTTTTAAGTTTCTAAACTAATTCCTTATAATTATGAACATACATAGACATAGATTTTTTAACATACATTCGTAAAGAACTTTTCTTTTCTGTTCTGTTAAGGCAAGCATCAAGATGAGAATTAATTTTCCTGTGCAGGATCATGTCACCACAAACTGGACACTCAGCTGATAAACAAAAGAAAATTATATCTTCATAAGCATGACTGAAGTATTTACCAAAAACATACAGTACATGTAAAATTTTCAGCCTGAAAATAAAATTTAATCATGTTGTCTGATCATCCAGATGAGAGCAGTCCTGAGAATAACCAACCACAGTCATTATCAGGACAACTCTTAACAACACCAAGAGACCACATAACCAATTTTGCCAAAAACATAGAAAAACTTGAGGTACTTGAGATTTTTGGTACTGTTATGCTACTGAAAAAAGGATAAGCTACTGTAAGATAGGCCTTCCAGCTAAGAACCTCTTCCTCCTACTGACCTAACTCTGGATCTTGTGGCTGTGACGGTTGTCTTTCATCAGATCTATGTTCACTGATAATCACTGGCTGTGGCTCCGATGGCTGTGATTCTGATGGCTGTGTTTCTGATGATTGTGGTTCTGATGGCTGTGGTTCTTGCACTTGTTTTTCCATTTCAATGACTGCAACCTCTGGGGTTGATTGTCTGCTTGAGTTTTCCTCCTTATCATTTTCAGCTACTTCAACCAGAATCAAGTCTTGTTCATTCTCTGCATCAAGTTTCTGTCTCTTTGTATCTGGACTTGTAGAGGTTGTATTGTTTTGAGAACTTGACTGAGCATTTAAGATAAAACACTATAAATTAGACAAAGAATATAAACTACTACTGACATGCATTTTAAACTACCTTATGCAAACTACTCGAAAAAGACCAAAGTTCTTAATATTTAATCTTTCAAGGATATAATTGAAGAAGGAAAGTCTGCAGGGGCTCAATTTCTTGTCAGGGACTCATCTTTGTTTCTTGATAGTCACACAAAGCACTTGTTAACTAAGAATCTGTTCATCAAAAAATTTGACAACAAAGAATACCTTTCTCCTTTTTATGTTTTTTTTAGAGGTGTTGATGCTTTTTTCGTTTTTTGCTTCACCACCCTTTTTGTCTCCAGACTGTAAACTTGTGACCTGCACTGTATTTGTTGTTAGCTCTAGGAGTTTTGTTCTGCAACAAATATGGAATAAATATAAGGTTACAACTAAGATGATCATTTCTAGCAATATAATGAAATGATCATAAGGTACATAGGGAAACTGTAGTTTTGCAAATTTACTGTACTCTTTTTGTCCATGCATGTATATAGTCTGTATGCTATATCTCTTTGAGATTTCTTGCTTACTGTAAACAAAATGCCCTACATACAGTCAGTCACCTACAAAGACAGACAAATAGTCAGACTGACTGACTGACAGACCAAGTGACTGACACACAGACTGAATGACTGGCAAACTGACTGAATTACTGACAAACAGACAGACAGACAGACAGACAAAAAGTTAAATTAACATACAGACTGAATGACTGACGGACCAAACAACAGACACACTAATTGACAGATAAACAGACTGAAAGACTGACAGACAGAAAAAGACATAGACTTAGAGACCAATTGACTAACTAAATAACTGACAGACTGTGTAGCTCACTAATATTGACTGATTTACTGAATGACTAAAAGACAGAGACTAAGTGATTGACAGACAGATCATAAGACTAACAAACTGCCTGACCTACTAATTGACTGACTTGCTTGTTGAGTGATTGCCAAAGAGGTAGACTGAATGACTGTCTCAGACTGACTGACTGACAGACCAATACACTGCCTTATTGACTCACTAAATGATTGACTGACTTGTTAACTGACTGACAGACTCAGTGATTGACTGAATGAACCACTAACCTTAGAGAGGTTAGGTTACATACCTGACTTTGATGAAATTTTTGACTAATTCATCCAATACCCTATTATTTTTCAAACTAAGAGGAGTGACTTTCTGAAAGAAAAGACGTCATGTATTGAGAACATTGTAAAAGTACTTGTACCAATATAAGTAATATTACTACATAGGACCACTAAACAATGTGAAAGTACTGTAATCAGGTAACATAATTCAGTAAAATTTCCGCACAGCCCCACACTACATTATGCATTCAGTTCTTGACTAGAGAAATAATAACAAAAACAATACATTTCCATTGGGAAAACAGATTTGTTTTACAATAGTATGGGGCTGTGTGGAAATTTTTCCCATGATTCTAGCAACTTATTAGATACTTAATCGATTAATAAAGACAGAATATAGAAAGCAATTGAAGAGTGAGTGTCTCCACTAAATAAATACACAACAAAAGAGAAAATGTTTCAAGATGTAAATTGAACCAGCCATGCATCTGTCCATGATAACAATTAATATCCATGTATAAGAAGTGCATACTCTGTATTCACTGGGAATGATACGGTTAAGATATGAAATATCCTTAATAAACACCATAATGATATATTACTCTAAAAGCTTTACAGAAAAATTGGAGAGACATCAAACCAGTACTTAAACTTATATACTGTCATCTCAATTATAGATGGTTACATGTTCATCTAATTTTGTCAAACATGTTAACAAGATGTCATAAATGTACATCGTCTATAGCTATGCTTCATATACCATTATACAGAGCAACGTGTCATGTAAAAGCATAACAATACTCACCAAGGAACAAGTGGGGCACTTTGTGTCATAACTGAGGGATCTCCTGATGCAAAGTGAGCAATCTGAAAAGAGAATGAAGCGGGATTTTTCTCCTTGTAACTATGGTATGAATGCTACAGTTGTTTAAGTTGCCACGTCCTATCCTTCAGCTTAAAATTGTCACCCACACAAGGAAAGGCCGAGTCCCCCTCTCAACGTTTCTCTCGAATGTACATGTATACAACTTTCACAGATTTAATTAATTTTTCATTATTTCGAGGTGAGTAAAATTCAACCTACAGTTGTGGGAGCATTCTGGAGTTATCAATGCGACGTCAAAAAATTCGTAGCAAATAGAACATCGCAGCAGATTGTCGATCGTCTGAAAAATAAGAATTTGAAAAGATCACACAAATGGAACAAAGTAGCTTTTTTTCGATGTTGAGACAGATATTTGTAATAAGATACCCTCATTTCTCGTAGAGATTCTGGCCAGTCTGACGGACTCCACTCTGCTAGCTTAGCTGAGGATGTTCTCTTTTCCGTAAAAGACAACATATCTGCGAGATCACCTTGAAAATAAACAGAAAACTTTTTAGAGAAATTCACTTACTAAGAGCCGCCATATTGATACAAGAATTTGGCGCGCGATTATTGTGTATTTTCATTGGTTGAAGCAAGACTACCCACCATGCATTGTTAACTTCTTGTTTTCTATAAGAAGCTGTCACTGGTGAAAAATATTGACCAATTGGATACTGCGATATAATATTGTTGCAATTATTGCGTCACAACCAGGTAAAAACGTGCACGATCCAAGATGGAGGAATATGCAAGAGAGCCTTGGTAATTTTATGCTTCCTTGCCCCTCTGATTTCCAGGATTTCTTCACAAAGGTTATTTTTAGAGGTATAATGACTGAATTGTGTCCTTGAATTCTTTGTAGTCCTTACCGAATCGTGGATGACTGTGGAGGAGCGTTTATGATGGGTGCCATCGGTGGAGGAATCTTCTCGTTTGTGAAAGGATGGAGAAATTCGCCGGCTGTGAGTTTCGTTCCTTTACCTTTTTTTGTATGTAGATTTTTTCTGTCCGATGTTATTCCGAATGAAGTCGTAATTCGCATTGTATATAACTGAACCAGTTACTCAAAATAAACTTCTTTCAGTTCTAATGGATCGTGGTAGTCTGTACTGATTCTAGATCAGCTGATGACAAACTCGATTACAGCATTACAAAATGTGATTTACCCTTACATCTATGACGATAAACTGTGAGACATATCCTAGGGAATTTATCCACTGTCATGAAATGATATACATACTTAAGTTATACTTGATTTGGTGGCTACGGTAGATAAAAAAATGAATATCGACCTTTTATGATATTTAATGGTCATGGCAATGCACACACGTGATAATGTCACCATGTGTACTCAAACAAACAAAGAGTATGATTGTAAAGAAAAATTCATGCTAGTCCTGCATACTAAATCCAGTTCCAAATGACTTTTTAATACTTGAGAAAATTCTTCTGTTGACGAGTATGATACATTTTTGAGGAGATTGGTTATGCAAATAAAGAAATTTAAAGTTATCACTGTGGGATGGTACCCGGACAAACTCTCTGTCCTTTCCAACAAAAAAATATTGGGTCATCTTAAGTATACTGCTTCTCTAAGGATTATATGACTGTTTAAGTGCTCATGATTGGTCAAATAACTCTGGTATTTCTTGTAGGGGCAAAGACTTTATGGCAGTATTGGTGCTGTCAAAACAAGAGCACCTGTTCTTGGAGGTTAGTGCTTCAGTTTACAGGCATTATAGTTTACTCAGTTTTGTATGGTTACAGAACAGTTTATCATTTCAGGTAATTTTGCTGTATGGGGAGGTTTATTTTCTACATTTGACTGCTGTCTGATGGGAATACGAGGCAAAGAGGATCCATGGAACTCAATAGGTAGTGGTGCTATCACAGGAGCTGTATTAGCAGCAAGAGGTGAGTTATCAAGTTATCAACCACATTCCTCTCTAAAAGAGCCCAGAATATAAAGGAAATTTTACTCAGTTTGCAGCCTGACATTTTTGGAATATAATATATCAGCAGAAAAAAAAACCACAACAAGCAATTATTCAACAATTAGCACACATTGGATATGAGATGGTAACAGCATGCATCAAGTCCATTATAATGTATCTCTTATCCAACAAGTGCAAATGGAATAACTGTTTCATTGAATTTCATTAAATCCTTTACATTTCGATATTTATAGCTTTACAAAGCAAAATTATTCAGTTCCACAACACTTAGCATAAATTATGCATTTCCATATAAGGTAACTCAGAATATTGGCCAATAACTGGAGAAGAGTGAACCAATCAGAACACCAGAAATTTTATATTCAGAGTTAAAAATATAATAATGAAAAATATGTAATGTAAATTTGGCTTGATACATGTAGTGATTTCTTCAAACTCATCATGCTTGACTTATCAAGCAAAATTGACTTATCTACTGTGTTTAGTAATTTTTTTATCAGTTGTCTATGAAAAGGGAGATGGTTGCTATTATTCAATGGTAATTGTTACTTTTGAGAACTAACCATAGAATAGAACTGTGTGACTCTGTTTGAGGTACATTACATAACCACCAGTGGCGATCAAAAATGGTGATGCAAAATGTAACTAAGTTCTTCTGCGATCTTTAGGTGGACCATCAGCAGCCCTAAGATCAGCGGCATTAGGAGCTGTCCTGTTAGCTTTAATTGAAGGAATAGGAATTGGAATTACAAGGATGACAGCAGAGCAATTCAAACCAGGTTTGTTCTCAGAATTTTTTAATGCCAAAGCTCTTTATAAATGTTCAAAAATGTCTCTTCTTAGTTTTAAAATGTGGAACAGCTCTGTAACTTTTACAGTGCCTTTCTCCAATCAGGGGTATAAATGGTATCAGCAAATTGTCAGGGAAGCCTGATGAAATGCTGGGGTGTAAACCTTGCGATGGACTGGCATCCCATCCAGGGAGAAGTAGTAACACCCCTAGTTGCTTCATGCCATGGAAACTCCAATAAGCTCCAGTCATATGGGCTCCCTGGCTCAAGTACAGACATTTTTAAGACTTCACCAGACTTTACATGTGGAATCAAGTTATAGCAAACTGGTAACTGCAGATCAGTCAGGACTTTAGGTACTCATCATTTAACCTTTCTTCCTTGCATTTCAGTCATGCCGCAGCCCCCAGACCCTGCACAGTTACCTCCAAAACCATTCAACCCTACACCGCAACCAATACAGCCAGCATCAGAATTTGATTATCAGCCGCAGTATCAATAGGAAAAGATATACAATACAATATGACAACTTTTCAAGTCAAATTTTTGAGGATTTTGTTACTGATGTTACAAGGCCAGCTATCCAGTCTGTGTTTAAGGAACAATGTTGAAAAAGGCAAGGGGTACTTGTTGTTCACCATCCTCTAGAAGCTCAGGCTGAAAGGACTGACAGATGAAGAGGCAAGCCTCACTATGGGAATTTAATTTTGGAAGTTGTGTTGTTTGCTGTTGTCATAAAAGAGGAACAACACACAAACATGTGCCAAACATAAAATTGCTTCACTTAAACTTGATAAAGTGGCAATAGAGGTGTGGTATCAAGTGGTATGACTTGTACATATACATGGATACATCATGAATTTGTGACTAGGGATGTTGATACTTGTACAAAAGGACATGTTTGGTTGCTTTGGGTGGCAACATATTGGAGCACATTTTTTTTTATTCAATATCTGCGGTGAATGCAACTGTTGATAAGCTGACAAGCAATGGGCAGATAACACTTTCACTAGTGTTATGTTTCAGACTGAATTTATTTAGAACGTAGAGGAAATAATTTGCAAAAAATTAAAGTTAATATGTTTTCAAGTATACTGGTGTGGTAAGTGGTGACATAAAACCAAACATCATTTTAACAGGCTGCAGCACAATGCCATTTTTATTCAGTCTATTTCTTTGGAATCCAATACAAAATCCATTGGAGGAAAAGGTTTAAAATAAGTTCATTACAGGAGAAAATATCAAAATGGTAAGCGTCAACCAATTTCAAGAGGGGGAAACTATGTTTAGGGGTAGAAAAAAAAAAAACAACTTGGGCTAAAATGGGTACAAATTCCCCAGATGCACAATAAAAAAAGCTCCAACTATTAATTCTAAATACCTTATTTATTTTTATGTCAAACACTATAAAAAATGGTTTATTCTTTTGAGCAGTTAAAGTTTTTCTGATAGCGACTGTAGAGACATATTTTCTATCAGGTTGCTTTCAACTATCTATTAACAAATTGTTTTTCTTAGAAATTGTATTTTCAAAGGATTAATTTACATGTCATCTTCTAGATCGTTTCAAATATTACTATACGATACTGTTGTATTTCACCATTTGTTCTAAAAACACCAAACATATTAAGTCAACTTTTCAAAAAACTTACAAAGATTCATTACTATATTTTTCAAAATACAGCAATCAAGAAGTCAATGGTTTTGGAGAGAGCTTCGCAACTAGTGAACACCTTTGGATGTACATTGATAACTTAACAAAAGTTTAATGTCACTGCAGCTGTAGAGCAAACTGGGGTATGAAATGTCCTATCCTCTCAATTTTAATTCTTTTAACCCTTTATCTCCTAAGAGTGACTGGCATCTAATTTCTCCTTACAATATCAGCCCTGAATCAAACATTAAGGTCATGAGAATAAAGGAAATGATCAACAACTAAAGAACTCTTGATTGTTAAACAAATTCTCCTTTTCAGACCCTTGAGAAATGTAAAGGGAACAGTGAGGAGAATATGTATACTGATGTTAGGGTGTAGTGGGTTGATCAACCCGTCTATCTTGTTTTTATCAACACTTTTCCTGTTGATTTCCTTTGCATCACAAACTTGAATGCTTCGTTTGCCTGAAACAAAGAATAAAACAGCATTTGAGTCATTCTGGTATAACAGAATACAAAGTAAGCTAGAGTCACAATATGTGAATTCCCTGTTGATGTTTTGTTGCAGTGATCTATAAATGTTTGAGCCAGCTGCTTAAAACCTAAAATCTAAGAGTGACCACTGTCTAATTTCTCCTTCCAGTAAAACTGGTTAATCATACACAAGATCATAGGCATAAAGAACATGATTGCCAACCTAAGAAGCTTTGATTGTTTAAAAAATTCTCCATGTCAGTACCAAACAAAATGTATAAAATAGAGTAGGGAGAAGATGGATACTGATGTTAAAGTAAAAGAGGTTGAGAAATTTGTATTATATAATAAGCTCAGTTATGCACGCATTCTGATTGGTTCTCATGATCTATTGGAAGACAGACGTATAGATGACATCATCATTAAAAATTTTTTTAATTCTTTATTATATCAAGCAAATAGATTCCATGCGTCTGTTCAGTAATAGATCACAGTGGACGTCAAAACGTGGTAAGAACATCAGTGACACACTTAGCTGCACCTTGCGTGCCACTTTTTTGTTCTAACCACATTTTGACATCATCTGTGATGTATTACTGAACAGATGCATGGCAACTTGGAATCTATTTGTTAAATAGAAAATAGCAATAGTCTACTCAAGTGTTATGTTATTTACCTGGTCTAATTCAAACTCTCCAGAAACATGTGGTCCTCTAAGCTTGCCTTGTTCAAGAAACTCCAGTGATTTATTCACAGAATCTCGCAGTAATGCAGGGTTATATTTCATGTGGGCTCCCTGGAAATTGAAAAGCACAGTACTGTTGCAATGTCATGCAAATGATGATTCATAACCCAAAAGAAAGGAAAAATTAAGGTTCAAAATCGGACACTAACTGGTGGACTGTACTTACCCAAAACAAACCAGCTATGGAAAAAGGACAAAAAAAGAAAGAGTTTTTTTCAGTCTTTAGGTCTTTTGATTTAAAGAGCCAGCTTCATCTTTAACAGAGTGAAGACAAGTCTGAAACTCAACTGTTTCATACTTAGGATAAATCATTGTATTGCATATATATGTTATTTACCAGGAGGGGGTCAGTATGGAATAGTTACAGGCATGCTATAAGCCAATTAGATTTAAGGATTTAAGATTCCAGCCTGCTGAGATGCTTCAGAAAGACAATGAACACTTATTCTTAACTTACCTGCTGAGCAGTTTTTCACCAAGAGAATATTTGCTGGGATCTGAAATATCACAAAAGAAAAAACAATTTGGAACCAGTCATAGCATTATTTCATACAATGTGTTGCATATTTCAAGAGCAGTGTTACAAAAAATAGGTTCACACCTGAGGAATTTCTCCTGAAGCGAACCCAACAGGAAGAATAACACCTCCCCATGCAATGCTTGAAAGGAAAAAAACAATTGGAAGTTATTCACATCATCATGTTTGCTACCATCATGTAATACAAAATTGTTAAGAAATTTGGGTTTTGTGGAAATCTGGCCATGAACAGATATAAATGTCTAACATGACATGTCTAAAACATTATTTCTGCCAACAATGACCCAAAAAACCAAGATTCAAGCTACAAATATTTATACTTCTGCCGTGTCTGTAGTGTCAATCTTACATAAGAAATTTATTATCACAAAAAAAAAAACAATATTTACCATTTCAGACACTCTGTAAATACTTTTCCTCCAACAGCTTCCATGATCACATTTGCACCTTTTCCACCTGTCAGTTCTTTGACCTGCCACATTATAAAACTTATCAGAGATGAAGAGAGTGTCAATATCTCATTAGTTATCCTTCTTTATGCTGGCCATACAATTCTTGTGTCTTTGTTTGGAGAATTTGGTGTTGGATCAATAATAATCTCCTGATAGATTTTCTTATTCATTCCCATCATTTGTCTGCTTGATATTGTATTGATATTGTAAGGAGAAATCCTGTCTTGGTCACTCATGGGAGTCAAAGAGTTAACAGGAAAAATTACCTTATCTTTGATACTGTCTTTGTTGTAATCAATTGTGGCTGACGCTCCCATTGTTGTAACAACATCAAGCTTGTCCTTACTTGCAGCTCCAATAACCTTAAAAACAGAGCCAGGCTCTTGTGAGGATCTTATGACACACAATCTTTAGAAGTTTTATATTCCCCACAACCAGACTTGTAAGCTTATCACAATTCTAAGAGTAGGAAACAAACAGGATGCCATTCCATCAAGTTTACTCTCAAGGAAGCCATTGCTCAAAAGATGGTTATGAGCCAAGATCTTGAAAGTTAGGTTTAGTAATGTCCTCTCAAACTAACACATTGAAATCTTCACAAGAAAGAAGGAATCCATAGAGATCTCTTAACTCAAGTCTGGGGGGTTAATCAGTCTCATGTATAGGGGCTCCTCCAAGGGTGAACCCACTCAAGAACAAACCTTTGCTCCCAGTGCATTTGCTGCTAAATCAACTGTTGCCAATCCCAATGCTCCTGCTGCAGCTGTCACTAGCACTGTTTGACTGCAAATAAGACAAAACAGGCTTTGATTTAACCTTTTGAGTCTCACAAAACCAACATTAATTCTACTTACTGTCTAATCTGCCATCAGGCATTCTTCTCACAGAAGAGCATTGCAATGCAAGAGTCAACACTTCCCTGAAGAAAGAGAACACCTGATCATATGTTCTTTTCTGTCAGGAATGTGACATTAAAGCAAAGAAATATCTTCAAGTTGAAGCATCACCATGACATGAATTATTGTGCCTTTTTTTGTTTTCAAATTTTAACTTGTCTTCTGAACAAGACCTACTGATCAATTTATCAATTTCACTTGTAACCTCTTAAATTCTTGGTTAGAACAATATCAAGTCTACTTATGAACCACTTACAAAACACAACATGTAACTCTTAGAAGTTATTAGTGTGTAACTTCTAACAACAAAAATATTCCTATGATGCAAACATAAAATTATAAATAAATAGTCATCAGCCAGAGCGTGTTATATCAATCAAACACAAATTCTTTGATGAGGGCTTAACTCC